AGGAGTGAGAGAGGAAAGAGAGATCAAAATAAATATATTTTATATGTTAAAGTAAAGGTTGATCTTCCTCAGGGGATTGCCGTGCCCTTGCATGAATAGGTACAAAAATAAAGTAAATGGTGTTGGGAATGGGAAGCAAAGGACCACAAACAGAAGGCTGAACATCAATTCTAGCTGCCAATTCCTTTTAAAGGATCAGTTTTTAAAGCTTTTATTAATATTATACAATTTTGCAGTGCAGTCAATCTGGAGTCCCAAGTAAATTTATTAATCTGACATTAAAATTTCCTTACAACTTGGTATATCTGCACAGCCATTAATATTTTTCTCAACTGCATTTATAGCACTGTATGCATAAAAGCTTATGACCATCTAATTCCATATCTAAAATTCACTGGAACTGTTCACATCACATTATAATTAGCAACTTCTACGATCGCTGTTGCTGGTTTTACATCAGCAATAGTTTTTGTGTGTTGAGAAATCCAGGCAAATGAGCTGAAAGGACATATCTGTGGTTTGCTTCTGCATCATAACCAGCAAAATGTCAATGCTAATGTTTACAAGAATGTACAATCAGGGAAAAAAATGTGTTTAAACAATATTGTCAGTGATAGAGTAGGTTAGGAAATTTAGGCTTAGTAAAAAGCAATTTCAAAATATAAAGGTCATCTGCACACTTTTCTAAAAGTACCACTTAATATATTAACCTTACAGCTTTGGGGCTCCATTTTGAAGCTGCATCCATCTACAGCAGGGATGGCCAATGTGGTGCCCTCCAGATACAGTGGTACCTCAGGTTAAGAACTTAATTTGTTCCGGAGGTCCGTTCTTAACATGAAACTGTTCTTAACCTGAAGCACCACGTTAGCTAATGGGGCTTCCCGCTGCCGCGCGATTTCTGTTCTCATCCTGAAGCAAAGTTCTTAACCCAAGGTAATATTTCTGAGTTAGCAGAGTCTGTAACCTGAAGCGTCTGTAACCTGAGGTACCACTGTACTGTGGAACTACAAGAGCCATTGTTCCTGGCTGTGGCTGATGGGAATTATAGTCAAACAAGCCCAACATCTGATGGGCTCTCTATTGGCTACCAATAACCTGCCTATTACATTTAAACAGAAACAGGATGCAGCTTATGTGAGGCACACTACTGCTGCAGTTTCTTCTCATGAACGACAACACATGGTATTGTTGCTTGGATTATATGAATTAGCTGAACTAACTACACTGAGCAGACTCTCTTGGAAGGTGGGGGACTCTCCTTCCTTGGAGGTTTTTAGGCAAAGGTTGGGTGGCTATCTGTCATGGATGCTTTATTTGAGATTCCTGCATTGCAGGGACTGGACTAAATGACTCTCAAGGTCCTTTCCATCTATACAATTCTAAGTTAAGATCTTGCATGGACTTCTTCTCCCTTTCCATACTCAGAACAAACGTGTAAAGCTGTTCTGGGCTTTGCCACAGTCTCTTGTTTCTGCAGCTCTAGCCTTAGCTATCTGGTGTCTTTGGAAACTGCCTTCCAGAATTTGCACATGGCACTACTTCTCTCTTTCATCAAATCCCTCCATCAAGCCTACCTTTTTTGTTGTAATGATGTAGCTTGACCCACAGATGGGGAATCTTGGGCCAAATGTGGTCCTCCAGGCCTCTCTATGCTCTTGGGGCTCCCCTAAGGCCACATATCCTTCTGAGCCACACCCCTCACCAGCCCTGCTTTGTACCTTCCTCACTACTGGCATTTGGCCCCTGGAAGGTTGAGTGGCCCTCAGGTTCTTCACTACTGGCTTCACTTCTTCAACTTCATCTCAAACTGAAACAAATCTTGGCTGCATTTGCTCATACTTCTTACTTTGGCTCTGCCTTTCCTTGCAAACGGCAAGATGGCAGCTGAACCCCATGGAAATGTCAAATCTCAGCAGTGCACTTATTAAATTAATGGACAGTATTTAAGGAGAGCTTGCTATTGATTTGGCTTGTTTCTGCCAATGATAATGTACATTAATTTATACCACAAAAATGCCATTAACTTGCCCATTAAGCATAAAGCAGTACATCTGTGGAGGAAAAAGTACAAAACAGAATACCTAAACAAAAATGGATAGATAGGAAACACAGTAAACAAAAGAAAATAATGACAAAGCATAAATCTTAAGTCCAAAAATAGTATTAGGTAGTTTTCCTTCAAAGCAGGAAAGAACATTTTATTGCTGCTTGCCCCACAAACAAACCACTTACCTTCTTTTTTAAAAGAAGTTGACTGGCGACTTCATTTTTATGCTCTCCGAATCATTCATGGCAAGTAAATACTAACACAAGTTTAAAGTAATGACTATACAGTACCTTTGATACTCTAAGGCAGTGTTTTTCAACCAGTGTGCCGCGAGATGTTGCCTGGTGTGCCGTGGGAAAAATTGAAAAATTCGAAAGATTAAAAAAAAAATTCAAATTTTCGCCCACTAGGCGGGCGCCGGACTGTGTCCTGGGTATGGGGGGGTGGGGTTTTTGACCCCACCCTCGGCCAGCAGGGGCGCCGATTGGCGTTCCTCAGGGGGCACCCTCCACTTTTCTGATGTCCGGGCTGTGATTGGTCCAGACTCCAGCCTGGACCTATCACAGTAGGACATCATCTTCCGACTTCCTTCCCGCCCGAGCACAGTGTGCGCAGCAGCAGAGAGAAGACGTCGCGACTCGAGTCACCAGGAGGACCAGAGAAGTTGTCATTTTATTTCTCTTCAGTCTCCACTGAATGCCTTGACTGGGTTAGGGACCCTTATAGCTCAGCATCAGTTGGTGGAAAGGACATGACTTTACAGGAGCAGGAGGAACTAACTGAACTGAGACAAAATCGTGGTTTCAAGCTAAGATTTGCTGATCTACCTTTGGACAGTTTTTGGTTGGATACTGCCAAGGAGTTCCCCCTTCTGGCAAACAAAGCTATTTTGACATTGCTCCCATTTTCCACTACATATCTGTGTGAGATGAGCTTTTCAAGCATGATTGCTATAAAACTAAATACAGAGAGAGACTGAGAGCTGTTGACGAAGAGCTACGTGTGTGTCTTTCTTCGATTCCAGCCAGAATATCAGCTTTGTGTTCAGCCAAACAGGCCCAGGTTGCGCACTGAATAAAGTATTTTATAATTTTTCATATTTCTGTTTACTTACTATTTCATAATAAAGTAATTATATATATATATATTTTAAATAATATTTATTATTTTTCCAAAAACACTAAAAGAAAAAAGAAGAAAAAAAGAAAAACAAAAACAATACAATACAACACATCGAATTAACAAAACAAGATTAAGACAATAAAATAAATCAAATAATTTCATTATCCCATCTTTCATTCACTTATTTCCACGACCTCCTCACACCTCCCTTTTTGTATTCCACTTCTGTTAATTATTTCAGCAATTTCTTTCCATCCTCCTCTGTTTTCAACCCTATAATTATCTAAACTCATTCTAACCTTATTTTTTCCCTTTAATACTCTATTAACCTATCTGTACTTAATTCCTTATATTATTTCTACTAAAGCCATATAACTTCATTTCAACATTTTTCTAACATTCATTAATTTTGCAATATTTCTGTAGATAATCTTTAAACTTTTTCCAGTCTTCTTCCACCAACTCCTCTCCCTGGTCTCAGATTCTGCCAGTCATTTCCGCCAGTTCCATGTAGTCCATCAACTTCATCTGCCATTCTTCCCGGGTGGGCAAATCTTGTGTCTTCCAATACTTCGCGATGAGTATTCTTGCTGCTGTTGTTGCGTACATAAAAAAGGTTCTATCCTTCTTTGGAAGCATAATAAAGTAATTATAAAATACTTTCTTTGTGTTTATTTGATTCCTATTCAAGAGAATTACTTTATATATAGTCAATAGAGGCACAGAGTTAAATTTTTTAACATTTTCTAATGGTGGTGTGCCTCGTGATTTTTTTCATGAAACAAGTGTGCCTTTGCCCCAAAAAGGTTGAAAAACACTGCTCTAAGGTGGCTAACATACACAGGTAAGTGTTTGATGATTCATTATATATTCAATTTGCTAATTGCCTTATGCAGGGCAGTGTCTAGGCGTCTTACAATCAAGTTGGGAGGAAACCACATAACAGCCACCCATAATTAAACATTGTAACTATAGAAAAACAGGAGCATTCTTAAATAAAATAAAAAAACCCACTCAGAAATGTTGTGAGCATCTGATGACATACTCTCAGGAAGTAAATATTAATGTAATGTCTACTGGTAGAATTATGTGTGAAGTTCAGCAAGCAAATTGCCCAAAGAGCAATGTGAAGAGCAGATAACTTTTCTGAACTTACCAAGATGAGGTCTCCAAACTGGAACTGGAATCAAAGGATGGCCTTCCTGTGGGAAAAGGCTGGCAGAAGGTCTCATTATGGGGAAAGTGATTAGCTTAATATAGTGTTCCGAGGAAATGCTACAGAAAAGGTGCTTCCTGTCTCAGTGACAAGACCAGTTTGGCATGATGAGCAGACTGATCCTGTCTCCTGGCCTGATGGTGGTACTATATAAATTGGAAACAATGCTATCTGGACACCTGGGAGACAACCAGCATCCTTTGTTGAATGTCACCTGCCATCCTACCTTATGGAGTGGGAGCTGCATTGTGAAGAGTGTCCTGGATGTGAACGGCTGACATGGAGAAACAGACTAAAGGGTGAAATAAGGTATTGAACTGAGAAGGACAGAAGTGATGAGAGGCATGACTGTAGGTATCGTAGAAACAGTACAGCCCCAGCATACTAGGACAAATTTGATGTGGCTCAGTTTCTATAAAACAAGGTACTCCATAATACAGACCATTCTGTTTCTGACTTTTCCATTGGTTTGAAAAATATTGTTGCAGAAATAACAAACGGTAGGGAAGGTAAAATACTGCCTTGGTGGTTTGTGAGTACAACTCAGTTGTATTGCTTCTACTTTGTACAAGTTACTTGAGAGTGAGGAAGGAAAAGAGACACGCACCAGCAGCAATTTGGACAGTAGACTTTATTAGAAACTTTTTTCTTCATTCTTCGGTAAATTCACATTAAAATATGCTGAAGGCAGCTCAGTCTGAACATTCGCCAACCTGCCTTTACAACAACTTCCAGTTATAAACTAGATAACTGATCAGGCAGAGAACTTTGAACAAAGTAGGAAATGCAAAAAAGAAAGCAGTGTCTTTAAAAAAATAAGTTGATCCTGACAAATGAATACATATTGCAAGCAGTGGAGAAGATGACAAAAAAGCCATCCTCTGGGGAGACAACTTAAAATTGGATACTCTGTACAGAGCGTTGAACAGATATGCAAAATACTGTGTCAAATACATATTAAAAGAAAACCCAGTATTTGGAATTCATGAAGTACAAATGATTTTTAAAAACCCAACTTAAAAAGTGACATATTTTGAAAGCCGAGGGAGGGGGTTGCTGTTGAAAACACTGAATTGTCAGCCCAATCGGCAACCAAGTTAAGCTAGAAAACACCGATTTGAGGAAATTCCGCCCTACTGAAGCAACAGAACGAAAACCAGCTGAAATGTGCTAGCTTAACTGATTTTCAGATTGAGCAGATTTTCTTCAGAAAAGATCAACTACCTTTAAAACCAAGACACAGCTGTTTTATGACATAATTTAAAATATGGTGGGTTGGGTACCAAGAGCATGTTTTTCTGAAAAGGCAGAGCACCTAAAAGTAAAGGCCACAATCTAGCAGTTCCAATGCAGCTCGTATGCTCCGTGCGCACAAAGATTCCTAACTCCCTTCTACAGAGTTTGTGGGAATCTAGTGTGTAGTCCAGAGCACTTTCCTTCACAAATGAGAAGAGGCAACCTCTATGTGTAAGGAACTTACTTTGGATCAAAACAGATGTCTACAGAAAATGTGATTCCTTGGCATATCTTACGAGTTAAATCTCTGTGACGTTGTTATTCTGGTTTTCAGAAACCTCCAAACAGGTTATTGGGGGGTTTTTTGGTAGCACACGTTTAATCTGTACAAAGGGAGTTTCTAGCCCCCTTTGCTCTAGGGCTGCTTTTGGGGATTAGATCTTCATCTGCTGCATAGCCAGCGCCAGACCTAAGTCAACATACAGAGCATCTCTTTGGATGTGACCTGTGAAGACAAGCAAGCTTTGGATTCTGCGTAACAAGGCTGCTAACAGTGTAGGCAACAATAATTTCACTGAAAGATCTAAACCAACTCAAAGAGTTTTCACATTCCTTAGTAGTCTCCAAAATGTTCTGCCACGGTTGATTAAAAAAAAAAAAAAGAAACGTTTAAAAATAATAATTAAATAACACTCAAAATATCCACCACGAAGATTTATATTCTGATGTAAACAATTTCTACCATTTAGAGGTCTAGAATTCGTATTACTGATATTGTAAATAATTTTTCAAAGACTGAGGCAAAGGTAGAGTTTCTATATCATGCAGGCGTTCTCTGCCCAGAGCAAAGCGGATTGATCTTCGGCACAGGTCCATGAGAGGCAGGGGTTCCGCTGAAAAATGAAACAGAAGATACAGTATCAATGTATTTTCCCCCTTCTCTTTTCGTCATTAATTGCACTCATCTTTTTTATAATAGCTTTCCCGACTCAAAATGAAGAAGTTAATCAACTAACATTTCAGTGGAATATTCAGTGCAGACCTTCAAAACATGCATGGAACACTTGAATTTAATGCAAAGCTATACTTTAGCACAGCCTTCATGAAGTGTGGTGTAGTGGTTAGGGGTGGTAGTCTCGTAATCTGGTGAACTGGGTTCGATTCCCTGCTCCTCTGTCACACTTCTCTGAAGTCTCTCAGCCTCCCTCACCTCACAGAGTGTTTGTTGTGGGGGAGGAAGGGAAAGGAGAATGTTAGCCGCTTTGAGACTCCTTAGGGTAGTGATAAAGCGGGATATCAAATCCAAACTCCTCTTCTTCCTTCATTTGTTGGGGTCTACAACTCCCAACAGTCTCAGCCAGCACAGTAAAAGCTTCCTTAGCAGTAGAACAGCAATATATACCTCAGTCAACATGATACAAAGCAGCACTGGTGGTACATTTGCTATTTGTTTCACCATACATATAACTGCACATATTTGGAAGTTCAGATTCTAAAATAATGACTCAACAGGTCCACTATCAGAAGGGTTTTCACAGAAACTCAAGATCCTTTAATTAGATTTAGAACATGATACTCTTCACAGCTGGGTTAAAGGCACACCATTATTTCATTTAATTGCTAAGGAAGAGAAAAGAATGTTGGCTATCCTTGTTCTAAGGCAGTGCTTCTAAAACTAGGGTCTCTAACTGTTGTTGGACTACAACTCCCATCAGCCCTGACCAATTGTTCTGCTTGCTAGGGATGATGGGAGTTGTAGTCCAAAACTGCTGGAGACCCAAGCTAGAGAAACGCTATTCGAAAGGAAACCTTTGAGAACATGTCTTTTCTTTCTAGGAGTTGGGAGTAAACAGAACTAGGGGATTCCCTTTCTTCTTCCATGGTAATAAACAAGCTTTGTTAATTTCACTAGAAAGCCAGTTTGCATTTAACAGCTTTATGCAAATACATACAATATAATATTCACACCCAACCATGGTCATTTAATGGGCATGCAATGGGACATTAAAGAAAACAGATTCAATTACACTTAAAAGGGAAGATAACATGTAGGAAAGCTTTAGTATAATTTCACTATCTTGGGTGACGGGGGGAACTATGACCATAGCTCTGTCAGACACTCTACAAGTCCAAGCACACTGGGACAACTATACACTTAAAATGTCCACACAAAGGTCTTTCCCTTTCACTGGAGCTACTAAATCAGAACTTACATCTGTAACAACCCTTTGCTGATTGCTGCCCCAGAAATCTTGGACTCAGTGGCAACGCTGAAACCATGATTAAAGATGCAGAGTGGTCAAAATTCCTGGTGGTCTCAGAATGCTAGGAAACCACCATTTCTCAAAGACTAGCAAACACATGTAAGCAAAAGCAATTTGATGTTCAACAAAGGCCTTCCAGAAACAAAAATATAAGCAAATGCTAAAAATGGGAGGGTGAGGGAATCAGTGAATTATTGCAGCAGCTGCTAGCTTTCAACCTTCAAACACTGTTTTCTAAGTAGATATTTTAAAATGTTTTCTTCCTCACCCCACCCCCGCTTCATTCTTAAGAAAAACACACACACACACACACACACACACACACACACGTACGTTACTGTATTGGCAATAATTAGGTTCACAGTTTTAATGGGATGATTGATATTGTTGGCAGTTAAACACATGGGGGGGGCTGGGGGGTTGGGGGAATGGACAAGATGAAAGCATTTCTATAGCCATGTAATGGCTGTGAGTTATTTAATTGTTTTGAGCAGATGTACACAGAATTATACATTTCTCACAGAGATACCCTCTTTCATGTTGTTGTTTTTCCGGAGGGGGGACGACTGAATATAGTGGATAGCTGCTTTTCAACATATTGTTTCATGAATATTTTATTCCGTAATTTTGAATTTTACTTTACTTGCAAATCGCTTTGGGTCTCCTTTTGGCTGTGAGAAGCAATAAATAAAGGCAAAAGCTAATAATAAAACTGAAAAGAAAACAGCCTAAACTCCACTGAATGCAACCTGTGCATCTGGGATCAGACAGCTCAGCTAAGGCACAGGATTTTCAAATATTTCACTAAAACCTGTGGCAGAGTTATGTCTTTTAAGACTACCTGTCAATACTAACCCCCTAAACAGGAAATAAAACTTTTTTAAAATTCTGAACTTTTTCTATTCTTTAAGTACAGGTAAATCTACACTAGCTGTTTCTCCATTTAAAAAAAGGGAAAGACCTTTCGTTCATGCATTTGCTATGTTTACTTTTCCTATCCACCCCCCTTCTGAATCAACCTGAAATGCTACTAGCTCGCTAGCCACATTTCTTTGTAATCCCTCCATCAGCTTTCAGTTTTCCGCCATATCAAATTAATTCCTGGTCATGACCCGAACTCATGAATGATCATCCTCCATCTAGATTGCTCTCCCATTTTAATCCCCCCTTTTTTTAACCACCACCACCCGGCACTGGTCTTTTCCTTAGTTAGACTTTGGTTACTAAAAGAGCTGAATATCTGGTAATCTCAAAGCTCAAAGTTGGTCTTCCATTTCTATCACTTGTCTTAGCATGAGTCAAACAGGAATCTTCAAAAAATGCTTGCTGTACAATTGCATACCACTGTCATTTCAACAGCAGGCGGTACCTTCCAGGTGTTTTAGACTACAACTACAATCTCACACACACCCGTTGTAGTCCAAAACATGGTACCTTGGAGGGTAAAAAGTTGGTCAAGGCTATTACAACCCAAAAAACTAGAGGAGAAGGAGACTCATGACTTGATCCAAATCTCTGGTGTACCAAAAATTCTAACATAAATTCTGTACCAATTGCTCTTATGGAAATGATAAAAAGCATTGTCAGTGTGTTTGCCATTTAATAAGGTAAGGATACTCCAAAGATACTCTCTGTTTACTGTTAGGAAAACACAACCAGATAATACCTAAAATGATGGGGCAGATTTTGTGTGTGGTGAAAAATAAAGAATATGCACAATATAAATGCAAACTCATGCCATTCTTGGTTTCAAAGTATGTGTTGTTGTTTTTTAAAGAAGACTGAAAACATAATTTGTGCAATTGTACTAATTACACACATTGCACAATTTAAAAAAGGAAAATGCAGGATTGAAAATATTTTAAGTTCTTTTAAAGTTTTTTTAAAGTTGAGTGTTTTCATACAGAATCATGAGTCCTTCAATTCTGCTTTTTGAATAACAAGAGCCCAGATGTAACCCATCAAACAGTGAAATATGAGCTTCTGCTCTCTCTCTCTCTCTCTCTCTCTCTCTCTCTCACACACACACACACACACACCTCTCTTCACCAGGTACATACTTTCCCCTCCAATTTATCCACATATGAGCAGCTGGAAACCATTATGTCGTCGTCTTTTTTAAAAAACAAACAAAATCCCCAAACCTATGGGCAACAGATGGCACAATTATCTGTTATCAGCTAAGAACGATAAAAAAATTTTTTTTAGTGACTTCAGAAGTTGTTTTTTTAGGAGAAATGATTTTTTACTTTTTCTCACCTTCCCTTATTCAATTTAATTAGCGTAAAGAAAAATGGCTGGCATTTCAACAATGCATCTGAAGAAATAGGATTCTGCCTATGAAACTTCATGTCGCAAGAAAGCCAGAAAGTATAGGATGGTACCATGGTATTCCTTCAGCCAAATCTTGACATCCAGATTCACCCCTGATTCACACCCTGTGCTCTCAAATAGGACAAAAGAGAGAGTGCCCAAGTGACATACTTTGACCAAGAAGATGTCTCATGATTACATTCATCAGAGAACTCCTGCACAAGCTAATAGGAGTCTGTCTAGGTCAGGAAGCACAATTTCACACACAAATATCATCTGGATCAGTAGTGTCATCCAGGGAACAAATTTATCCTATGGTAAAATAAGCCTGCAAGTGAAACCATTCAGTAGAGGTCGCACGTTGCCATTTACTTTTAGGACATATCTGGATGTCTGGCAAATATATCTAAATAAACACGGGCTCTCATGAAGGAGCCCCTGGGTCAAGGAGGCTAGGCAGATTTGGGGGCCCCAAATCCACATGATGATTTATTTCAGTTTAATATTTACTGCATGTTTTGCCATAAATTGTCATGGAAATAAGTACAAGAACCATTGCATGGAGATCTTCCTTTAAGATTTTTGCTTGACATGTTGCCCTTGGGACTTTTCCTGCAGTCAATATCCTGACCAAATCACACCCCTCACTGACTCTGCTTTGCACTCTAACTTGCTGGAATATACCCTAAACTCTGATAATAGTATAGTCAGTCAGAAAATTCTTGCCACCACAGGAAAGGGTTCATTCCCTTTCATGTACAATGCATATGAGTGGCTAGAAAAGAAAAGATGATATAGATTCTGCAAGTCCAGTGCATTAGAATACCTCATTTATTTTAGAAGCACAATTGGCCCACGGCCCATCTAATTAGTTTCATTAACGTTCCTGCCAAAAATACCATCTTAATTCTGTATAATATGGTCTTTACCCAACTGTAAAGAAAGATGATACATCAATGTGAGAATTAATTCAAGAGATCAGTCCAGGAGATTAATACTTGGATGAAGTGAGACTGATATTGTACAGTATGGGCACGTGTCAACAGGAGATTTAAAACAGGCATACAGTAAAGGATGGAACTCAAGAAGGGTTTGGAACCATCCAGTAACATAACGGGAATCAGCGACAGAACTGTTTTCAAGCTGGTTTCACATTTCCCCCTCCCAGTTAAATTACAAGTTTCCCTTATGGGGAGCTTCCAGACAACTTGTGTACTGAGCATTCATGCTGATTTGGGGGTGGGCAGGCAGCAGGGATAGATGAATTTGCACCAAAGCAAGTGTTATCCCATACTTCCCACTGCATTTTCCTGTCAATTTCCTTATCGCATGAAGTCCGGTCATTTGGTGAAGTGAGTTTGTGCGAGATCTCCAAATCAGTTTTAAGTGTGCAGCCTGAATTTGCCAATACAGTGGTAACTAGGTTTACGAACTTAATCCGTTCCTGAAGTCTGTTCTTAAACCAAATTCATTCTTAAACCGAGGCGCGCGTTCCCTAATGAGGCCTCCCGCCACTGGTGCCCTTCCACTGTTTGGTTTCCATTTGTAGACTGAGGTGAAGTTCGCAAACTGGAACACTACTTCCGGTTTTATGGAGTTCGTAAACCAAATCATTCATAAACAGGATTGTTCTTAAACCGAGGTACTACTGTATGTGACTGAATCCCACCTCCAAGATATGGGCAGTCTAGAAGTGTCTTTTTTCTCTGCCAACTTCCCATCTCCATCCATAGCTTTGGAAGTCTGTGTAAGTGTAACTTTGAATGCATGGAACAAAGAATGAAATATAGAACTTTATTGATTAGCCTTCCAGTCAAATCAAATTCTATGCACAGAACAAATGCATGTATTTCTGGAGATTTTCTTTTTTTCAGAAGTGCAATGATAAAAAGCAGCACTGGAATAACAATTATGCTAAGTGTGTTACAGAGCAGAGCAAGTTCTTCCTGCAGTGTCAGATTGATTCTCCATTTCACAGAAGAGTGTTGCTCCTTTCTGGTATCTGAGCAGAGCAGAGTCCACTTGAAGTAGGCTTACAGATAATGAGTCCAGCCAGAGAAGCAAAATTAATTGTTCTATTTATTCTTCAGTGCAATGCTGAAAGTAGCCCAAAGTAGCACATTTGATTTCCAAACAGAGTTTCTAAAAAAGATGGATGGGAATAGTACAAAAAAACAAGTTTAAAGGGAAAGTCAGGAGAGGCAAATCTCTATGGAAAGACTGAGGGTTATTTAAAACCACAATAGAAACTCAGCTAAAATATATACCACAGATTAGAAAAGGTAGCACCTAGCCAAAGCCAATGCCAGTGTGGTTATAAAGCACAAAGAAGCTATTGGAGGCAAGAAAGTTTCGTTCAGCAGAATGAAGTTTTGCTCAAATGTAAACCCTCCCTCCCTCTCACTCTCTCAGTGCGCACGAGCACACACACACACAACACACACACACAGAGTAGAGTATGGGGAACATCATTAGAAACAGACACAACAGCAATAAAATTATAAACCAGAAGCAGAAAACCAGCTAGGGAGATGAACAGACCATTGGACAACAAAGGCTGAGCAATAAGTTGGTCAAGTCTGTGGGTGACACCCCAAACAAAATGGACATTATGAAGTGCTCCCAAAGAACCCCTCCAAACTGTGTTAAAGGACAATCAACTGTAGCGCCAGGCAGGTATTTTCCGTCTCACTGAATTATAGTATTTGTGAGCGGTGACAAAAAGACAGTATCTCCAAAGGGTTAGGAGGCATGCGAGAAATCAGAGAATTTTGGGATAGAGCTGGGTTTACAGATGAGAACACTAAGGGTAATTCTCTCCCCCCCCCCCCTTAGAATAAAGTCTCAATAGTTGTGATCAGTGGCTGGCAAGTCTCTCCATCACTGCAGCCCTCTGACTTTCTTCCAGTCGCATTGCCCTTCCTGTGCCAGATCAGCACTAGTGTTGTTTCCAGGGTGACCTGGCACAGAAGGAGGAATGAGTCCAGAAGGAGCTGAGAACAGAAAGATGTGGAGAGGTTCACTGGCAACTGACTGTGGTTGCATTTAAAAAAAAACTGGGTAAAAGTCCTACCTTTGAACACCTTGGCTGTAAAGAAAAACAAGCCAACTCCCTCCCACCCCAAAGATTTCTTCAAAATATGCACAGCCATGCAGAAAATAACAAGAAATTTCCTCTCCATTTCATGCATGGGGGGTGTTTACTGAAAATAAGCACACCCTTAATAAAATGGCGGTAGAACATGAAACTATTAATCTCAGGGTTGAGAGTTTGAGCCCCACATTGGGCAAAAGATTCCTGCATTGCAGGGGTTTGGACTAGATGACCCTTGTGGTCTCTTCCAAGTCTATGACTCCATGAAATCTATAAAGTGATCAAGTGTTCAATGACACACCCTGGGGTTCGAACAAATAAACAAAATCCTTGACTTTGGAGCAAAACGGATATTTACAGAAAATTTGATTCCTTGGCATATCTGCTAGTTAAATCCCTTCACTATACATTGAAGGGTCTGAGCTGGTGGTGACAAACCAGGATCCATGCTTTGGATCATTGGGGAAGGGATCAGAAATAAATTTGCCAATAACACGGTGCACTGTTTTGTATAATCTACGGTGGAACTACACTTGAAACAATATATAGTTCTGGAAATTGTCCACCTGGAAAAAGGATTGAACAACCCTACCATGGAGAAAAGGTCACATTTGGGACTTTTCCATGTTTAGTAACATGGCAAGGGCTGACACAACAGAGATTTATAAACTTACGCATAGTGCACTAGAACCAAGGGCAGACCCACAAAGAGTCGTCCACATTTTTCACATGACAAGATCCTTTTTCTTCAAAAGGGATGTTCACACTAACTCGTGTGTCGAAAACCCCTTAAGCAGCATTGATAAGATGGACTTGAGAAAATAAATCATCTCTTGTCTGAAGCATATCCTCTTAGACAGCCTTCACTAAGGCTTCATCTGGAACCTCTAGATGTTGTAGGACTACAGGAATGATGGAAGTGCCAGAATGGTGAAGGCTGCTCTTAAAGATAGCATCCTAGTAGCAATTCCGAACAAAAATCCAATGCAGGCATGTCCCAAGTTCAGAATCTTAAAACTGCCTCTCATATCACTGTAGCAGAAACTCTCTTCGAAACCAAAATTAAAGTTTTATTATTGTGACCAAATCATTCCTTGTCACGGTGATGAAATGTGCAAGGTTATAGCTGCTTTTAAAACTTACAAGTTCTATGCTTGCTTACTGAAGAGTCAGTCCCATGGTGTTCACGTATTTTGTTCCCAAGGGTAGATATGCACAGGATTGCGGTTTAAGCATGCAATAAAACTTTCCATTACACTGTAGAAAAACTGCCCTACTGGGTAAAGGTAAAGGTAAAGGGACCCCTGACCATTAGGTCCCGTCGTGACCAACTCTGGGGTTGTGGCGCTCATCCCACTTTATTGGCCAAGGGAGCTTCTGGGTACAGCTTCTGGGTCATGTGGCCAGCATGACTAAGTCACTTCTGGCGAACCAGAGCAGCGCACGGAAACGCCGTTTACCTTCCTGCCGGAGCAGTACCTATTTATCTACTTGCACTTTGATGTGTTTTCAAACTGCTAGATTGGCAGGAGCAGGGACAGAGCAACGGGAGCTCACCCCGTCGCGGGGATTCAAACCGCCGGCCTTCTGATCATCAAGTCCTAGGCTCTGTGGTTTAACCCACAGCGCCACCTGCGTCCCTGCCCTACTGGGTAGGATAATAGAAAGATCTGCTTTGAGTGCTACAAAGGTTTACATGTGATCCCTCCTGCACACCCACCAAAGCAGATTCTCATGATGCATTGAACATCACATGTGACATTTGACTTAAGAGCAAGCTTCCTCAACCTCAGCCCTCCAGATGTTTTGGAGCTAAGGATCATGGGAGTTGTAGGCCAAAAACATCTGGAGGGCCGAGGTTGAGAAATCCAGCTTAAGAGAATCCCTGCCTCCTGGTATGTGCACATATATCCATGTCATAACCATGGAGAGCGGGGTTCATTAAATTCTCAGATAGGATTAACAAATTAAAGAAACATGCTGCTGTTTTTAAAAGTATTTGATTGTTGAGCATTGCACTGCATAACCTTTCCTTAACCCTTTCAGTTAAAGACGATCACTGCACACATGTTCACATATGGGTGGCTGATGAAACCAGCAATGGCCCTTGTGTTCCAAAAACACTTTAAAAGTTTCACATATTGTTGAAGGCTTACAAAGCAACACAAGGATTTTAAATAATCAAGTTAGTCAAGTTACAGTGGCAAAAAGTAACAATGAAGGCTGCTTAGGTGTTGCATAATGACTTACATTTTTGTTTAAGGGTTTTATTGCTCCTTTGTGAAAGGGCTGTTTGACACAGCTGTCAGTCTGTCAGCCGTTAATATCAACACATGGTCACAAACATGTTCAGGTTAAATGCTACAATCACTTCATGTGGTGTTAACAACAGCCAGCATGAATGCATTCTGTGAACTTCCAAATAAATTTCTACTTTCACATAATCATAGAATTGTAGAGGGTCATCTATTGCAACCCCGTGCAGTGCATGAATCTCAACTAAAGCATCCATGACAGATGTCCTCTCTACATTCACCAAACATTTTTTGAAACTTTACTCCTCCCTCTTTCTCATCCTGTCTCTTCCATTCTCTTCCTGACCTTACCAGATTAAGCACGCTTTTCTTTCTTGATGAGACATTTTTTCTCTCTGTGGGAAGCAGGTCTGCAGACTGACTGGCTGGTTGGCTGAGTGCCTGCTCAGTGCAGCAGAGAAGAGAGAAAGATTCTCTATTACAACCGCTGATTTTTCAGGAGAGTCCTGCAACCTAAAAAAACCCCACCAAAGCGGCCCAGTTGACACAGAGCACTAAACCATGGCTTAGTGTTGTGTGCATGAACTGGGAAAAGCTACAGAAAAACTTGAGTCTGTGCCCTCTTCCCTTTCCCTCCTAGCAGTTTTTAGTGTTGCTTTCACCAAATCATGGCTTGTTTCCTACAAACCAGATTTTGTGGCTTATAACCAACTCTGGTTAATTTCAAATCTTCAAGACAAAGATGATAAAGATGGCTTGTGCTAAACCCTGTTCTTTGGTTTGCATGGAACAACTCTGGATTGTGTGCCTAAGTCCTCCTCTCGTACTACTGCAGAAGGAAGAGGGAGAGGGGTGTTTGCAAGCCCACGTCTCAGGATACAGTGGTACCTCAGGTTACAGATGCTACAGGTTAAAGACTCCGCTAACCCAGAAATAGTACTTCAGGTGAAGAACTTTGCTTCAAGATGAGAACAGAAATCACATGGCAGTGGCACGGCGACAGCGCGAGGCCCTATTAGCTAAAGTGGTACCTCAGGTTAAGAACAGTTTCAGGTTAAGAACAGACCTCCAGAACGAATTAAGTTCTTAACCCGAGGTACCACTGTACTCTAACTTATACAGGCAGTGCTAAACCAACTTACAGAATCTGGTGCCCTCTAGATGCTTTTGGCTGCAACTCCCATCATCCCTGACTATTGGTAATGGTGGCTGGGGTTGATTGGAGTTATATTCTAAAACATTTGGAGGGCGCCAGATTTTTGACCTGGGTCAGCTCCTACAAGATGTGCAAGAAAGTTAGAGGTGAACTTCTGCCACTTGCCCTGTCACCCTTTCCATTCACCTCTGTGACTTACATAGTGACTTTCCCCCATTACATCTGCAGTATAGATTTTTTTACTAGCTATGCCAGTACAAAATGCACCGGACGCTTTAATGTACACATTGATCACCCCTAAATTATAAAAGGTAATGAGATTCCAGGCTTAAAAAAAAAACGACGGGCCGGTTGGCTAAATACATTTATAAAAAGCCAACATAGTTTCTTTTCAGACTTATTTAACGTCAACTTGATTTTCCATAATGTTCCAATTATCTCTTGGTTTCGAGAACACCCTGACAACAGCGGTTAAGTGCAAACTTATACAGCTAATTCACTACCGCATTATCAGAACTATCAGGTTTACACCTTCCAGGTTGAGATGCACTTTGAATTATTCATCGGGCTCTCCCCTTGATCCTGAAAAAGGTCACACTTTTTCATACAATTTACTTTATTGATGTACTTTCTACATACAAAAGCAGGACCATGCATTATTAATCACTGCCCTTCATATGCCTGATAACATCAATTAAATGCGGGTTTCCTAGTCCCTCCCTTTCATGAGGCTCTAAACAATAAAAGCTGACCCATGGCAATAAATTGACACAACCACTTAAAGGACAAGTTGTAGACATCTTTATCATCTAGACCAGCTTCTCCTAACCTTGGGTCTCCAGGTGTCATTGAGCTACAACTCCCAATGCTCAAGGCATACTCACACAACCAATCCTGTTTTCATTCCTAACAGATTTATTTATTTATTTGCAGATTTATAATCCACACTTCCATAAAAAATACATCAAAGCAGTATACAACGTACAAAAATAAGATCACTAAAAAGCACCCATAAAAGCATCGTTAGAAACATCAATAAAACATTGATATATGCTGATGGTTTAAGAAGAGAAAATTAGTATTGCAGAGGCTTGTCTAAACATTATAGTTTTCAAAAGACATCTGAAAGAAGGGAGACATAGTTCCCACTGAACCACTATTTGGTGGTTAGCGAAGGCCAACCCAACCTTAGGGCTCGGGGAAAACCACCAAAAGTGCCCCCTCAGAAGATCTCTGTGATCTTCTTATGGAGATGCGTCTTATGGAGCGAATGCAGGCTGCGCAGCTATCACAGAAGCCAGAACAGCAAGAGGGATTGCTGCTTTCGCTGCGCAGCGATCCCTCTTGCTGTTCTGGCTTCTGAGATTCAGAATATTTTTCCCCCTTGTTTTCCTCCTCCAAAAACTAGGTGCATCTTGTGGTCTAGTGCGTCTTATAGAACGAAAAATACGGTATTTAGAAATATCTTTTTGCCATTTGTTGAAGCAATCTGTCTTGCAGATCACTGGTATTGCTTGAAACAAAAATAACATTCATGATAATACATTCATCTTTATGGTCGACACTCTGCCCAGCAACGAAAGTTTCATTCTACGCCACATTTGCAAATTTCTTTTAATAATCCCAGGTTTTCAAATAATTATCTTTATATAAATTCATATTCTTTGCTATTAATCATACACCTAAATACTTAACCTTCTTTCCAATCTTTAGAACTGATATATTTTGTAATTGATTTTTACTCTCATCATTCATGTTTTTTACCAGGAGCTTGGTTTTATCTTTATTAATTTTAAGACCTGCTATTTCTCCAAACAAATTTCGGAACTGACTCTATTGGTTCTTCTACAGAGATCACCAAGTCATCTTCAAATGCTTTTAATTTGTATTGTCTCTGTCCCACCCTTATTCCATTAATCTCTTGATTGCATCTTATTCCTTGTGCCAAAACTTCTAAAACTAATATAAACAATAAAGGTGACACAGAGAGAGGAATGTTTGTTCTGCCATGAAAGAAGGCAGAGATTTGGAGTAAGCTTAAAAAGAAACAGCTAAAATATTACAAAAGACACAAGGAAGAATGCTATTCAAGACAAAATGGTGCCGTTTCTAAGCAAAATACAGTGCCGCATATGATGGTCACGGTTTATGGCAGATCCTTTAACCTAGGAGGGTCTATTTAAAACATATAACTAGAGCAGAGCCAAAATGGTTAAGTTTCAAGCCAATATCTGCATGTACAATGAAGAACCTACAGATAATAATTCCCTCCCTCCCGAAAAAGTGTTCCCTGCTGCACATACAAGTTCTGAATCCTAATTACGGCTTATATAAAAAGCCTCCGAAGGCTGATTTTTACAAGCACACAAATCACAGTCCAGGGAAACAGCTGACTCTCAGGGGCAAGAAAGCTATGCATTTCCCAAGCTCATCTAAGTTCATATTAGCAAAGTTCCCCGATCCAACTGAGCAAAACTTTAGGCAGAGGTACATTCCCTTCCTTCTCCCTTGTAACTGGTAGGACTTTCACTCTAGACCTACCTCAGACACCCTACCCACAAGTCCATTCACACTGGCTTTCTCACAGTCTATGTATGATGGAATGTGGAGCCAACATGAACTGGATTTCAGATTCCTCAAGGAAGCTGTGTCTCCTAGTTTGTTTAAAAGCTTTTCTATCACAAACTGTAGATTCTTTTGAGATTTCTGATGGAAGCAACCTTTGAAAACAAATTGCTCCACATTTGAAAGGCTTCTTAAAAAATACCAAAATACTGCATACCTGAAGATCTTAATACAATTACCAGTAATGATAGTTGGGCTCTTTACTACACCCATTTTTGCTGAGATTTGCAAAATACTGTGGAAATACTGCACTGGAACCAAATTTAACTGTTTTTAGACACGGAATGTTTTGCACATTTTTGCTTTATAGTTACAATTGTTTTTATAATTAAGTTATTGCTGCAATGTGGTCTGGGATCTTGTCTTCATCATTTTTGTTTCTTGGAGGGGACATAAGTCATCTGCTCCAAGCAATTTACCTGCTCCTTCTGCCTCTCAAGGCTGCAGTCTCCTATGTTTGTCTTTCTCTGCCATTGATCAGCAATATTACCATTACAAATTATGAGTTGTTCCTTAATGAAGTAAAGTATCACAGAAAGTTGGATGAGTCCAGCTGACTCTTAAGGTTGGAGGGGGCGGGGAGAGAAAACTGGTTTGGAAATACATTGAGAGCAAATTGTGTGTTTCTTTCTCTTTTGATAAATGTAAAGATAAATGTAAACTCAGTAAAGAGAATGAATGAATGGTTTTATTAAGGATAGAAGGAAAGGAAGAAGGCAAACGGAAAAAAAGAGGTTGAAACTAAATGGAGCTTTGTGGCCGAAACCTCTCTGAACCTTAACTTACTACTTACAGCAAGACATTCTGGTCTCCTCAAGAGTAAAGTTGCCAGGCTGGTGGTCAGTAAGGGACCTGATGAATCCCTGATGGGAAGGACAAAGGTTGTATATCACAGTCCATTTTTAAGGACTCTCTCACCAATGTTGGGCTGAGTGACAGATGCCTTTATCTACAAACCCTTCCTGCTTCTGTATCTGAATTAACCCTCCTGAAGGCCTTGCGCAACCAACTCCTGTCACAAACCTGTCAAGACTCTCACTCCACTCCCTGGGTTCTCTGCTGCTTATGGACCGACCAGGAAAGATCAGGATATAAGACTGAACATCACAGCAGGCTGTATAATTTTTGTGCTGTTGAATGCCATCATTTCATCACACAGTTATACTGCAACAAACAAAAAACTTATCCATGATGACACACACGGCAATGCACTTACAGACCATCATCCCTGAGTGGTCAACAGGCAGTAATTTATGGCCACTGTCCGCCTCACCCAGGGAAAAATATACATTTCCTTTCAAAAGCACATATGTTTAAAAATCCAATACCTGAAGACATTCAGCGTCTCATACTGCGCAATCTCTATCAATTGCCAAGGGTATGAAAGTAAAAAGCAAGTCATTAAAAAGAAGGTGACCTTTATGCTAGAGTGGATTCCATTAAAGCTGTTTTCACAAGACGAGGGAAACCTTTAAGTTGCTACCGAATGAACGTTCAGAGTTTTGATTGAAAGTAAATTTGTTCATTTAAAGCAATGTGTCAGTAGCAGAAATCCACAGGAAATCCAAGCACTTCATTTCGACAACACGCAAAGAGCTAAGAAAAGATCCGCACTATACAAATAAACAAGCCCCAGTCTCTTCACTTCACAACACAACTCTTCTCTTTCCACCCACACATGATTTTAGAACTGGAAGTGAAATAAGTGAAAGCAGATACCGTATTTTTCCCTGTATAAGACGGCGCTTTTTGCTTAAAAAGGGGGGGGCAAAAATTGGGTGTTGTCTTATACACAGATAGTGAATGCAGAGGGGGGACGTGCGATTAATGGCAGCAGCAAGCGGGAGATTGGCAACGGCGACTGGGCGTGTGATTGGCGGCTGCAGCAAGGCCTGCTGGCGATTGGCTGTGGCTGTGGTGATTGGCAGCAGTGGCAAGTGGGCAGTGGGCTGTTGGTGGCGGTGAGCGGGCAGACAATTGGCGGCTGCGGAGACGTGTGCGATTGGCTGTGGCAAGCGATCGACAGTGGTGGGCAGGTGGGTGAGGGACTGGCGGAAGTGACCCCCCCCCCAAAAAAAGCTAAGCAACTTAATTTCTTAAATTTGGGTTAAAAAAAATAGGGGTCGTCTTATACACAGAAAAATATGGTATATTTTGTCATGAAATAGGTTGAAGGCCGTTAAAAAGAATACTGCAGGGCTTCACAAAACGCTATTAAGCAGAGTGCTTTACCATCTAATTTGATCTAAATCTTCATGTAGGCTTTCAAAAGGAGTTTCTAGCACAAGGGTCGTTTAAACGGCCCACGAGCCACCCCAGAACCGAGCCACCCACTCGGTGAGTCCCTACATGCTGTGCTAAACCGGTGCAGAGTGGAGCGGGGACTCGCTTCCATGGCGCCGGAAATCGCATCTGGACAGATGCAGACACTGGGAATTGCATCTGCACAGACGTTAACTGGCCCACTGAGCAATCTCCGCGGGAGTAAACCGGCCCAGGCGAGGTAAACCTTGCCAACTCCTGTTCTGGCATCTCCTTTTTGTTGTAAGGCTTATCTCATAGCTCTACATAGTATATTGCAATTGAGTTACTTTGCACTTTTAAAACTAGAAATCTATCCCAGCTCAGAGTACACACGCCTCCTTCCCTGCAGTTTGGAAAACTACAATGACGAGAAATTTAATTTTTCCTGGGACATGTCGATGTCCATCCTCAGATTTCATGGGGTGCTGCCATTGCACTATTCACTATGGCAGGAATTGATACCTTGCATGGCATCAGGATCTGAATTTCAGAACTGGCATGACAGAGAGTTTAGTGAATGATCCAGACTCTGGCCACTGAGTGGCAGGACTTTGAGGAGCAGCAGAGCATGGCAGCTGGGGCTTCAAGGTGGAGGGGGGCATGGCAGTAGTGGGACTGGCTCGGGGTCCAGCTGATTCCAGGGAGGCTTAGCTCGTCCCAAACCTGCCTATTGAATGGTCTCATTTTAAGGGCTACTTTGTTCTGCTTCCTTGTCATGTTCTTGTTGTTTATTAATGCTTTTTTAACTTGATGTATTTAGACAGTCAACCTCCTTGGAATGTTAAGAAAACAATTTGAAATAAGAAATAATACATCTCTTCTATACTTTGCGCATCGTCAAACATTTAGGGTTATATTCAACACAGTGCTATGCAGCTCATTTTGTCCCCAGCAGGAGATCTCTTTGCAGAATGGAACAATCCCCACCTCTCATCCTGCCACATGCCCCCCAACATCTCTTCTGGGGGTTCACCAAACTCTCCAGAGCAGATTTGGGAACAGTGCAGGGTTCACGCAGGGACAGGGGCGAGGAGACCCCTAGTACATTACATTAGCCCTTCTTTTCAGCTGGGTTACATACTGCCCACCACAGAACTGTGACTGCTTTACGGTACTTGAATGCACCATGGCAGGCCTCGAGAAAACGTAGAGGTTGACTTCCCCAAATATTTATGTTTCATGCAACTGGGAAGCCCCCTGAATCTGCAGAAATAAGGAGTAGGAGATGGTTGTTGCACTGATATTTCAGCGGATAGGACGTGCATGTTCTTACACTCCCATTTAGGAATAGGCCTTTAGGGCATAAACACAGGTTCTGGATAGTTCCCTTTGGTATTATGTACCAGGTTATAAATCTAAATAAATTTCAAAAAATGATGATGAACAGTCATGGTAGAACAAGTGAAGACAGAAAGGGAGGGAGGGAGGGAGGGAGGGGGGGTCATAAACTTCCTATGAGGAACTTGTCAAGTCCATACTTTTCCATTATTAAATAATTCCATTTAGAAGGGTAGTAGAATAAGACAATCAATCATTTCTCTTGGCCATCGTTAAGCATTTGAACTGTTCTTTATCCTTCCAACATCCTTGAAGAGAGGCAGTGGGGTGGGGCATGAGGGAAGACAGGTCTGAGCAGAATTGATTGTCACGCATGGAAATAGTTGAATTTTGCATATATATATAAAAGAAACATTGCAACATCAACAATTCTAATGCACAGGAAGGAAATGGACCACAAAAACTGGAGGCATATTTTGTCAATCAACAGCAATTAGAATGCAGCAAGCTAGCTGGCCAGGCTACCATCTCAACTCCCTCTGTGCACATGGGGTGACTGAATACCTAAAATCTAGGACTAGAAAAGGCCTACCTCGAAGTTCTACTTACAAGTTAAACCAACACATTGGGGGTGGGGTGGGGTGGGGAAAACAGGGCTGTGCTGTGTAGCTCTTGCCTTTGCATCTATGCACACAGCAGAAATAGTTGCTGGCCTTTGAGAACAGGTGTACTTGTAAAGGCCCCCCTTCCAGCAGACATTTGTGCTGTGTGTACATGCCAGCGAGAAACACTACCAAGCATGCTCAGCATGGCTGGTGGTGGTGCTACTCAGCATGGCCCCCTGCCCCCTCAACATGCTCATTAAATAGAACACTTGTACATAGGGCTACTGTGTCAAATTAATCACGTTAGTTAAACAGCTTATTGTATAAAGTAGTAGCATTAGCTTTCAGAACAGGACCATTAAGACAATGGGGTTTCAGTCTCTGAAACAAGCTAGGCAGAGTAACTGTGTCAGTCTTCTGCAGTAAAAACACAATTGTCCCCTGCAATTTCTATCAAGAAGTACAGCTGTGGTTCAATTAGCACTGATCTATTTTGCTATCTCCTAGGAGATATAATGAGGTTAAGATAAAACCAAGTAGTTTCTCATTTACCTGATGCTCTCTGACAGTTATCTACACAACATTTCTACTGTTTTACAATCTAAAGTTTGTTCTGGATATTGATGCTGCAAAATGTAACAGAGGCTAGCTAGGTCAATCTCTGGTTAGGATAGGATTTAAGCTGTCTATTACGCCACATCAACATTACTCACCAGAAATCCTGTTTTTAAAACTGAAGATGATTGCATTTTCTCTTAACAGACCACATCTGCGGTGCTTCAATTTCCCAGGTGTCATCTTGCACCTAGAAGGTGCCACATAGTATTTATATTTTATTTGACTAAGATATAGTATTTTTTTCTTATTTAATTGATTTATGCCAATGGTGATTACTAATGGCCAAGGAACAAAAATCACCCTATTTGGTATATTTTTCAGTCAATGTTCCATTTGTCAAGCACTACAATTCACCTTTGAATTTCCCACTCTATTTGCCTTTCACAGAGCTTGAACACTCTTCTGTGTTTCTCTTTGTTGTTGTTTAGTTGTTTAGTCGTGTCCGACTCTTCGTGACCCCATGGACCAGAGCACGCCAGGCACTTCTGTCTTCCACTGCCTCCCGCAGTTTAGTCAAACTCATGCTGGTAGCTTCGAGAACACTATCCAACCATCTCGTCCTCTGTTGTCCCCTTCTCCTTGTGCCCTCCATCTTTCCCAACATCAGGGTCTTTTCCAGGGAGTCTTCTCTTCTCATGAGGTGGCCAAAGTATTGGAGTCTCTTAATGCCTGTCATTAACACACTTGTTTGGGGCTATTTTCAAGATTCTCTTCAGAGGTCCTGCTCTATGTATACTTGCTAAATGAAGTGAGGTAGGAAGGAAGAGGGCCTTTTTGTAATGGCACCCCAGTTATGAACAGTCTTCTTAAGAGTGGTTCACCTGGAGCCATCTTTTGGGTCTTTATAGCACAAGTTGACTACCTTTTTGCCCACCCAGAACTTTTAAATAACTTATGAACTTACATTTAGTTTTAAATAGCTGTGTTTTACTTATCATTTTGTATTTTATTTCAATAACATTTGTTTTGTGAGCCACCCAAAGAAATTATGTTATGGGGTGACCAGATAGTCATCAAAAAGAAATCAAGATTTTATACTTTGCATCCATGGTTTCTTTGGTAATTTTTCTAAATTTACATACTAGTTTTTCTAATACTTTCTGGTAAGTGGATCCTTCCAGGCTTCTTAAACCATGTTTATTATTATTTTTTCAGTCACCAGTATGTTAGATAAATTTCAGTAACTTTCAAATACCCCTCTATTCCTGAATATTAAAAGTCCAAGATGATCATTAAATACATAAACACACATACAAGTCCCTTTTGACATCATATCCAGCCCTACAAAGCCAAAATCTAGTGCTAGTGGTGAGGTGAAATTTTACAAGTGTGTGTCCCTCCGCATACAGAACATAAGCCTTCTTTGTGCTAGGCTATAAAAAAAATGGGTGGACATTTTAAGGCACTCAACAAAATTGCAAATACTGATGACGGGTACACAGTTTCACACAGTAGTAGAGAATTGTGCCTTTGGGGGTGAAGTCAAACTGTTGGAGGGTTACAGTACCTGCTGTGGCTACAGAAACCAATACAGGAGAGACATATTTTGTTGCATCTGTTACTTCTGTAGTAAAAACACAATTGTCCCCTGCATCTGTTCAAGTAAATACAATTGGATTTTGGGATCATTCGAATGGCTGTAATTAGTTTCCATTTTTGGAGATGGGAAAATATTCCTGAGATGAGTGTGAGCAGTGTACACACAGACACTTCGGCTTTTCCAGATGGATCATCCAATTCAAAGTCAGACCACTGATCCTTCTAGCTCAGCATTTCTACCCTGACTAGTAGTGGCTAGCCAGGTCTCCAAGCCTTATCTGGAGATGATGCCAAGGACTCAATCTGCAACCTTCTGCTGGCCAAGCATGGGCTTCACCACTGAGCCACACCTCCTCCCCATGACATGTGCTAAAGGCCTCCAAGCATACAAAAGACTCACAGGCACTGTTGGTGTCCTTTATATTTTTCTTTGTACAAATCCAGATTGCACCCCAATTTGGGGGTACAATGGGCACTGACTCTTTCCTACTACAGCTTCCACACTGCTCCCAAAAGACACTACTGAAGAGTTTCAGCACTTCTTAGAGAGGTTTCTGTTACAGCTCAAAGGTATAGATAACTCTTAAGTTATGAGTCTTTTTGGATCCAACCCCAAAGCTACTAATACACTCTTGTCTACTACTCGTACTAGGAAAAAAATGTATATAGTAACAATGCATCAGATAGAATATACATGTAATAAATTAGCTATCTTTCCTCAAAGGAGCTCATGGATGCTGTACGTGGTCCTCCTCCCACCCACCCCAGCTTTAAGCAAATTAAGTTTAAATTGGGTGACTGGCCAAAGGTCACCCCGCACACTTCATGGCCAAGTGAAATTTGAACCCAGTCCTAGTCAAGCCAGGCTTCCTCAACCTTGGCCCTCCAGATGTTTTGAGACTACAATTCCCTTCATCCCTGACCACTGGTCCTGCTAGCTAGGAATCATGGGAGTTGTAGGCCAAAAACATCTGGAGGGCCGAGGTTGAGGAAGCCTGCTCTAAGCACTCCACCTCCTTTGCTCTCTGCATCAAAGTGCTACCTTCAGAAAATGCTTCCAAACACATTACTTTATATTAGGTTGGTCCACTGGGCCATCTCACTTAGCAGGTGTACCTGTTGTATTGTCAGGGGTTTGGACCATGTTGCCTACCACTAGTTTACAGACTGGCAGAGTAACGTAAGCAAAAAGAACAATAAACAGGCCCCAGAATGCTTGCGTGGCATGGCAATTTATTTGCTTTGGCTTGAAAGGAAAAGGAAAGCTGCTGGAGTCTTGAGTGCCATTCATGCAGGAATATATAAGAAGGGTACCATCTCCATCAATATTCAGTATCTTTTCACCTGGACCATCCGTATTAAATTTTGCTCTCAGGCTGAGCTTAAGTAGCTAATTGGCACTGGGTCTGTAACCAGAGTCTTGAGAGCGTCAAGCAAAACAGGCAACTTCGGCAGAAAGCTGGATGTTTGCTTCTGACAAGACAGCACCCACTCATTGCTCCGACAGCTCAAGGACACTCCATTACAGGGACAGCACTTCAAACACAACAACTGTCAGTTCAATTGCATAACCACAAGTGATGCAGGTTTACAATCTACTTTCCCTGTCTGCTCGGGATTTTAATCATTCCACACATGTCAGTGCATTAGACACATTTCATGGATGGTTCTTTCACAAAATTGGAAAGGAGGGCTTTATTACTTTTACTGTAGTTAAAAGAAGGATTTATATAAAAAAAAGATTAGGCAACAGACACCTTGGCCTGAAGAGTTCAATGGATGAAGTCTGTGGCAGCCGGCCGGGTCTGGGCTAAAAGACTATATTATCCCTACCCAAGCAGCACATTAGAAGCAAAAGCAGCACATAGAAAGAAATCGGCACCTTTTCTTGCCTCATCGCCAGAGCTTTACCTCTGGCCAGCCTCTGAGCTCTTACATGAGAGAACAAGAAGGGGGACAGGAATGTCACCAATCATAGGAACACATGACACTGCCTTATGCACAGTCCATCTAGCTCAATATTGTTTATGCTGTGTGGTGTAGTGGTTAAGAGCAGTGGACTTGTAATCTGGTGTACCGGGTTCGATTCCCCGCTCCTCCACATGCAACTACTGGGTTAGTCACACTTGGGCTAGTCACACTTCTCTGAAGTCTCTCCGCCTCACTCACCTCACAGAGTGTTTGTTGTGGAGGAGGAAGGGAAAGGAATTTGTTAGCCGCTTTGAGACTCCTTAGGGTAGTGATAAAGCGGGATATCAAATCCAAACTCTTCTTCTTCTTCTGACTGGAGAGGCGGCTGCCAGGGTTTCATGCAGGGGGCAATTCGCTTCCCTACCTGGAGATGCCAGGAATCGAACGTGGGACCTTTTGCCTGACGTGTCAATGATCTATCCGTGAGCTACAGTCCTTCCCCATGACAGAAGAAACACAAACTACATAACCAAAGGCCCAGTTCAAATGTGCATTCTGACATGGCACCCTCTGGATACACAACTGTTCCAACCTCACATGTTGCTGGTGCTTACCTCCTAGCATACCATGGGAAAAACATGCCTCATAATACAATTTCAAAGAGAAAGTGTATTTGAGTGCCTCTTGTATTGGAGGAATTTAATACAATATATCAGGTCTTGGGGCTGAATGTAGCCTCCTAGAGTCTCTGTTCAAGCCCTGGATTCTCTCCAGGCTGTGGTTCTTCTTTGACCCTGCTCTGCATTCCTTTCAAACACCTTTACCTGGATGGATGTGCCCTTGAACCAGGATAGTGTCTACTGCTTTCCTGTATGTAGAGATATATGCATAGAAACACCTGGATTTTGTATGGCAGGAATGCAGCTTACTATAAGAACCATGTCTATTGCTCTGCCTACTTTTTGCCTCTGGTCTGACCCACAACTGGCACTTTGGCCCCAAAAGATTGTTCCTGAAGGAAATGTTGCATTCGTGTAGGGAAAAAGGATCCCCACCACAGCTTTAAACAACACTTTGCCATGATCAATGTCAGTTTTTAGAATAAGTTCCCAACATCTCCCTTTGCGTCTTCTGTGAACATTTAATCACCTGTAAACACCAAAAGTTGTGTCTGCAGTTTTCAACACTACCACATGCATTTGATGTTGCATAGATAATTAAAAGTCACATCCTACTACATTTGATTAAAATACAAACTGGAGCAAATACAGTAAGCCAGATCTCAAAATGCTTGCGCTCATGGACATCCAATGAAGTTAAGCACTGAAAGATTCACACAGCGTATAGGTGGAACTTGTTCCCACAGGAAGCACCGACTAGGGAAGCTTTAAAAGGGTTTACAGACAAATTCATGGAGGACAAAGCTATGTTCTACATTCATAGTCAGAGGCATTATGCCTCTGAACACCAGGGAGTAGCAGGTGGGCAGAGTGCTACTACACCCAAGTCCAGCTAAGCCACTGTGAGAACAAGATTATTATTATATATTTATACCTCTGCCTTTTTCCCTGACAGGAACTCAATGCAGCTTACCAATAAAATAAAAACATAGAAAAAAATCTTTAAAAACAATTAAACATTAATAGAATTAAAACACACAAACACCTACGAAGAGCATACAGATAATTGCAATAAAAACAGCATGGCACCAGCCCTTTCATTAAAAGTAGTTGGTTCCCCAAAGCCTGTTGGAATAAGGAGGTCTTCACCTGCCAGCGAAATGACAAGGAGGAAGCAAGTCAAACTTTTCTAGGGAGCGAGTTCCAAAGGCTGGGATGCTGGTGAGATGAGCCATTCGCCTGGTACAACAGGCTCATCTTATGGTCTGGCCCCACAAATATCAGTAAAGTTTATTATCTTAACAGTCCACCTACTCATATCCTTTTAGGAAGAATTTTGTTATCTATTTACTACCGGGGTCTGATCTTTTCTATCCAGGAATTGCCCATTATTCAATTATCTCTTGATCCAGCTGCTTCAACAGCTGTGTGTTTACTTCTCAGACAGAGAGGACACTTATTCAAACAATTAAGATACAGAACAAGGCTTCTGTCAGCACTCAGATTAGCCCTTAAGTGGACTGGTAGGGAGCGACAGATAGTGCTGCTTTTCAGAGGGTACTGGAAACCAAAAGGTTACTTTAGTTTATGCCAAGAACTGGAGACCAATAGGCCACGTCCACAGTGCATTCTTTGATAAATTGTTGCACCTAATCCTTGCACATTATGCATTCACATGTGGCAGTGTACAGCTTTTGCTTTTGCACGTGAACAGGGAGGAGCTGTGTGAAAACAAGGCTAAAATTACCCAGGCAAAACATGTAAAGCACTTTTATGTCATTTTATCACTCATGGCTTCCCCAAATAATCCAGGGAAATATGGCTTCTTAAGAGTGCTGAGAGCTGTTAGGAGATTCCCAGAGTTCCTTGGGAAGTGTAATTTATTGTTAAGCTACTCTGGGAACTGCAGCTCTTTGCGGGGTCTCCTAACAAGTCTAAGGACACTCAACAAACTACAGCTCCCGAGATTCTTCAGGAGAAGGTATGCCTGTGAAACGTGGTAATGCATGGTACAACGTGGCCTAAAAGTAAGAACCCACCCTTAAGGGTTCATATCGGCATTTTAACATATGGGGCTAAATGATATCGAGCGTCAGAACAACTTGGCCACAATAAGGAAATTTTGCCCATGGTGTGACTATTTTCCACTCTCTGGCACGCTATCTGTATAACCTAGCAATTCTAAAATATAGACGTGCTTTTATTCTCACAAGATTGAATGTATTGCCCTCGGCTGTACTTGAGGGACAATTCCAACAGATTCCACACGAAAAACGCTTATGTCCCTGTGGAGATGGCAGTACCGAATCGGTGGCGCATGTCCTTCTGGCCTGCACTCTTTATAAAGACTTGAAGAATGAGGTTATCACCCCTCTTTTCCTGTCCATTCTGGGTCGCCCAACCACTACCACAGTGTCCTTTCTCTTGGCAGATCAAGATGAGCAGGTGACAGCAAAGGTTGCAAGGTTTTTAGCTTGGGCAGTTAGAATAAGATCCACTATTTGACTATTGATTCAAAACCCTAAAATCTATTTTATATAATTGACCTTTTTTATTTTTATTCTTTGTATATCGTATTGTTGTTTTATTGCTATGGCCGATGGCTGACACAAATAAAGATAGATTCATTCATTCATTCATTCATTCATTCATACATATAGGGCTGCAATAAACAATAACTGGAACTTTGGCATTGTGTCTATGAAGTCAGACATTCCCTGTGCACACATGCATGTAATATTTTACTGTGAGGTGTAGGTGTTATCTTTACTGCTGATGCAAACTACTGTTGATGGGTTACCTCACCGCAAAACGTGACTGTTTATGTGTTGGGGACAGGGTGGCGCCACTGTGTTTGCTAGCTTGAAGTTTCCTGACTTTGGGATTTCATCTATCTGAGCACTGTAGGCTGCACAAAATGAACAAGTATCCTGGGGGCATAGGAAATAGTTACCCGCCCCCACAAAAAACCTCACATATATCACAGAAACAATTATACTGGGCAAAACCCAATGCAAAAATAAAATATGTCTTTCTGATAAATTCAAGATTTAATAATGAACTCAAAATAGCAGGCTCTAGCAGACTATTTTCCTCCTTAACTTTCCAAGTTCTCTAACCAATGACTTCATCAGTAAACACTTTGCTCAGGAGCACTACTAAATCTCTAGAACACCTATGTGAGGAATGTGTGATGTAGGGAGCAGGAAAGAGAAGAAACCCTAGAATTGTGCTCAGCTTTCCACTTACTGATAGAAGATTTGCCAATAGTTTTATAGAGTTAAAGCCCAACAGTAGCCAGATATTCTTAAATAGTTTTGTTAGAGCCACAAGGACACAGAACATAATCAAAAGAACCACCAGGCCAAAAAAGATTAAAAAGTATGAATTTGCTGCATGGAATTCCCGCACAAGTTTTTTTAAAAAATCCCAAAACGCACACAGAGAGAGACCAAACCTTGAAAGTGAGGAAACAGTCATATAGCATTGGTTACTTGCTAAGCAAAGACATGTTCTACTAAAATGCCAAGAAAAAAATAAATGAAGAGAAGAGAGTAAAGGGGGAAGGAGATTGAAGATAAAAGGTTTCATTATCTGACTTCAGGGAGTGTAAAAGCATTGCAATTCTACACTGTTATATAAATTGTTACTTGCTGAAGTAACATTATTTATGGCATTTAAATCCTGCCCTTTCCCGTATCTCAAAGAGACAAACACAAAAACGGTTCCATTTTATTCTAGTAACTCAGTGAATTGAAGTTAGGTCAAAAGACAAGAGAAAATACAGTGGTACCTTGGGTTACAGACACTTCAGGTTACAGACTCCGCTAACCCAGAAATAGTACCTCGGGTTAAGAACTTTGCTTCAGGATGAGAACAGAAATCGCGCAGCAGCAGCAGCGAGAGGCCCCATTAGCTAAAGTGGTACCTCAGGTTAAGAACAGTTTCAGGTTAAGAACGGACCTCCAAAACGAATTAAGTTCTTAACCCGAGGTACCACTTTAACCTAGTGCAGAAGCCGCACTATGTATGGCAAAGTCGAAACTGCAGCTTCCGGAACCTGGTTTGGCCTGATACAACCACAGAGCTCTGGGCACACCTGACTTCATTACTCTGCAGAAAAGATTGACAGGGACATGGGGAGGAAGACTACCAGCCAGTGGCAATGCACTTGCCATGGTGGTTGTGAAGGCAAAAACACGGAAGCCAGAGCCTGGGTCACATATTTTAAAATGAGGTGTTCACTTTTTGGAGTCCGCCACACTCTTCCAGAGTACAGCAAAATGTTCACACTGGGCTGGACGATGAATTCCTGAACTAAAACTAGTCTATAATGTGAATATCTGGGAGGTGCCCATCTGATGGTCCTGCACCATCCTGAAATTAAACATGCTGTGGCACAAAAAAGGGTGAGATCTCCTGGCTCTGGAATGCCCTCTCCTCCCAAATCAGATTGGTGGCCAATTCTTTTCCACTTTCAGCACCAATTGAAGAGTTATTTATTTATTTATCCAAGCCCTGGGGTGATTCATTTGCCTCTACTGTCTGCTGCTCTTAAGTTTATTTTACTGTGGTGTTATTTTATATTTTTACAGGCTGCTGATGTCTTACTTGGTGCTTTACTGCTGGCAATGTATTTTAATGCTGATCCACTGCAACCTGCATTGTGTAATGAATAGAGGGATAAAAACAGTTTGAATAAATAAACAGTCACAGGGGCAAGCCAGTCAAAGCCAGTATCACCTTTGAGGCAACTTCACTAACTTCCAGCTTGTTCCTGGAAAAATCAAACTGCTACTTTAGACCAGTGTTTCCCAACCTTTTTCTGACCGTGATTCCCTTTCTGTGCCTCCCCATGGGTGTAGCCAATGGGTGGGGGCAGGAGGCAGCTGCCCCCCAATAAGTAAAAATCAGCAGAAATCAATACAAATATGAGGTTCTGTCCCACCCTAACAAAAATCCTGGCTATGCACATGCCCCGTCCTCTGTGCTATCAGTAGAAAGGTAGCTATTTAAATGTTTTGTTTGTAAATGGAACATGTTTTATCGATAATTTTTATAAATTATACAAGATACAATTACATGAAATGATACATAATGAAATATTGTTGAAGCTGAAAAACATAAGAAGCGTGGAGCTGGAAGGTACCCCAAGGGGGTGTTAGAATTCCTGCTCCATGATTGCAGTCATGGGATTTTTGTCTTTCACATGACGGTATATGTTTTGACTCCACAAAGTGGGAAGTGACAGAGACAGGATGTTTGTGTTACTGTGTTCCGTGAAGTGGGACTATTGTTGTTTGGTTTTTTCTCTTTGCTGTCTGATGCTAGAGAGAGAGGGAGCCATGTTGCAGTGCTCCGTGTGTGTTTATATGTAAATAAAGTAGATTAGCCAAAATGCTGAGTTGCTGAGGCCTGTTACACATGATGCGCAAACTCTGAGGATCCCTAAGTGTGCTGGTGTCTGTTGGCATCGGTTGCTGTGATGTTCGGGCTGAAAAAAGCTTATGAAGCTCCCAAACGATCGGCCAGGAGGGAACATGCCAGTTGGGCATGTGTCTCTGCCAGGGTCCTACTCGAGTGTAGGCTGATCTCCTGACAGGGTCATCTTTCTAATGCAACCCCCTGCAACGTAGGAAACTCAGCTAAAGCATCCATGTCAGATGGCCACTCAACCTCTCTTTATGAGTTTGATGCAAAATATTTGTACACCTTGATACAGCTGGAATAGTCCCCAGGTTTATTGTTTTCTTTCAGGATAGTACTTTGAGTTATCATTTGTGATGTCAGCAGTTATTTCAGACCAATTACTGGAATCGGATCTTTCCAGACAGGATATATTTACAACAGTGTCTATAGTGCCTTACAATAAACTGACGGATGATTCATGCTATTTTTCTTAGTTGAAGTCATCAGAAGTAATCTGGAGCCACAGTGACAGCATAACTAGATGTAATTCTGTGCGATCTGCCACTTTACATGGGACTAAGGATTCAAAATATAATTTGCTTTGATTTAAAAAAAAAATGTTTTGCTGATGGTAAAGATCAGAACACAAATGGCAAAATATTTCACTGCAGCTTCTTTTGGTAGATAAGTTTCTTAAGATTTCAAATGAAAATCCTGTAAGAAGAGCCAACTTCATGTGGAGAACAGACATGTGTCTTTCTTTAAACGAACAAATAAATATTTCTCCTACCGATTCGGGATACAATCAGAGACAGTACCATTTTATTGCCATTAACAGCCTACTATTAATTAGATTCTGTATGACTATTTTAATGTGTTAATAGCTTGCTGCGGAGTGGAGGCAGTGCTAGATGTGCTCCAACTGTGAACACTAGCAACAATCCAGAGCATACGTATTTAGCGGATAAAAATTGAACCATTATTTATATTCCAATTACTAGTCAGGAGGAATCCGCACAACACAGATCAAGGGAAGGCCTTGCATTGCCCCAGGTTCAGTCCCTGACATTTGCAGGAAGGACTGAGAAATATCTGCATGAAACCCACTTTTAGCCAGTACTGAGCTAGAGGGTCTGACTCTGTCTAAAGCATCTTCCAATGACCCCAAGGAAGAGATTATCACCAGGAAAATCCTACTTGTGTGAACCTAGCCACATTTTGATGTAACAAAGCATGTCAGCCTGAATGCTTAATATATGTTTACGAGATATTATTATTATTATTATTTACATGTACTTCTCAATTCCAAAAATATTTCCAAGGAACTAACTCCAAATGCTTATAAAACAGAGTCATCATCAAAGGGCTTTAATTAGGACCGATGTTAAACCTGAATTATTGCAAATCTCTTGCGACCCGAGCCTTAAACTCTTGCTTTTTGCTGCTCTCCTTGAGCAGCAGAAATCAATTCTTCAAGAGCCTCACACTGCATTATTGATGTGGATATGGCAAACAATATCCATAATCCCATTAGCTGACCTCTAAAAGAAATGTTAGCAAGTATGTGATATTTAAGGGGGGTGGGAAGAGAATGTGAAGCTCTTCCCTAAACTCATGCCTAGTTGGACAGCTCAAGGCTTATTCTGGCACATGGCCTATAAAAACAGCTGTCAGTCAGGTGCTCATGTATTATTCAGGAACTCCATGGGCTTTGTGGGCCTAAACCTCTCTTGTCTCTTGTTGTGAGCATTATCTAGTCAACCATGCAAGGCATTCAGGTTACTACGCAACGTGAGTTACAAGAAATAAAAAGAATAAAAATGCCTTTCTTCCAGTTTAAGGATGCACGGTTGTTGTACAAGTTTAAATCATCATAGCCCCGCTACAATTTGGGGGCACTCGTCTGTGAGAAGTGTCCCATTTGACACTCAGATATTCATTTTCAGCTGCCTCCCCATTCTGGGCAAGTGCCAATCTGTGCTTGCCCAGCTTCCAATGATCTGACACCTGTGACCCGCCCCCGGCTTCAATATTCTGTGTATGAATGTTGCTAATGAAGGAAAGGAGTCCCAATAGACACACTAGCTGACCTAGGATTTTCATTCACATTTCAGAATATTTAGTGTCCTGTGCAAAATAAATATCTCAACCGCATGTGCATTCTTAGAATTGCCATGTCTGCCCATTAAGTTATCATTAGCATGTTGCTAACAATGACTTGCTAACAATGAATTGATGCTTTTGAATTATGGTGCTGGAGGAGACTCTTGAGAGTCCCATGGACTGCAAGAAGATCAAACCTATCCATTCTTAAGGAAATCAGCCCTGAGTGCTCACTGGAAGGACAGATCCTGAAGCTGAGGCTCCAATACTTTGGCCACTTCATGAGAAGAGAAGACTCCCTGGAAAAGACCCTGATGTTGAGAAAGATGGAGGGCACAAGGAGAAGGGGACGACAGAGGATGAGATGGTTGGATAGTGTTCTCAAAGCTACCAGCATGAGTTTGACCAAACTGCAAGAGGCAGTGGAAGACAGAAGTGCCTGGCGTGCTCTGGTCCATGGAGTCACGAAGAGTCGGATACGACTAAACGACTAAACAACAACAACAACAATGACTTCCAGAACTCTGGAGATGCCTGGATGATGCCCCAGTCACAAATTTTCGTATTCCCCTGGGCAGCACAAAAGTCCTGCCTCCATCAATAAAGTGCAGGTGTGTACAATATACCTGAAGGAACGTCTCCACCCCCGAGGTCCTCCTCTGAAGGTCTTCTGGCAGTTTCCTCTCTGCAAGAAGTGAAGGTACAAGGAACCAGGCAGAGGGCCTTCTCAGCAGTGGCACCCTCCCTGTGGAATGCCCTCCCATCAGATGTCAAGGAGATAAAGAACTACACAACTTAGACATCTGAAGGCAGCCCTATATTAGGTAATTTTTAATGTCTGACATTTTATCATGTTTTGATATGCACTGTAAGCCGCCTAGAGTGGCTGGGGAAACCTAGCCAGATGGGTGGGCTGTTGTTGTTGTTGTTGTTGTTGTTGTTGTTGTTGTTGTTGTTAAAGAGAGATCATTTCCCAACAGGGCAAAGCCAGTGGCCAGAAGATGACCCAATAATTCCTCAGGCACTGAATCTTTCAGATGCATTTTCATTGTTCAAAGCTGCTTTGAGAGAATCTTTGATGAGATGCAAGTTATCAAAATTTCTACGTTTCTATGATTCCATATAACAACCCTCTATATAGAGGTGGGTGCTAAAATGTTCACAACATGGATTTCATCTGAGAACTTCTTTTAAAAAAGGAAAGAAATGGAAGGTATTTCATTTTTCAACAACTGAAAACAGGAGGCATGCATGCTATAAAACCAAAGTCAATTTTGTTTAGCTTGGCCGTATCCCAACCTAAACTTTTGGGCTTTAAGCAAGGGGGGAGCTATACGATTTCCCTGCCCCTTCAACCCCCCACAGTTGTTGTTTTTTAAAGAATACTGGGCTACTTAATTTTATGAGCAGCTCTGCCAAACTAGAATAAACAAGTCTGAAAAACATTCCCACAAAAAGGTTTTTCACATAAACACGCACATAAGAAAAGGGTGGGGGAGAAATCAAACCAATGGGGATTGGAATATATACAATTGAGTAATCCAGGGAGCTAAAAACTCACATGCCAGCTGCTGAGCATGTACGCCTTAGAATAAAATTTCCATTTCCACAAGCTCTTTGCTACTAAGTAAGGTTTCAATGGACATGGATTCTGTTTCCTAATGAGCAAATCCCACACAAACAGACTCTGCACAACTTAGAAAAGAATAAACAATGAACTTTTTGCCAGTCTTTTGGATTCCCATCAGCAAAGATGAGCATTACCGATAGCAAAACTTCCTTTGGTTTTGCAGTCTATGTGGTCAGTACTAATGCACTATAATAATGGATTGGTGGTCAAAGTCGTTAGCTAGAAACTAAAAATGCAGGACAAGAAATAAATCAGGATTGCAATTTTTTTTCTTTTCTTCTGAAAGCATTTTTGGAATGCATTGCACAGAAACTCAAGGTAAACCCCAACATATAGCTACAGAAAACAGGAGTGTGTGTGTGTGTGAGTCCAGTAAGTAGGTTTGCTTGCAAAGGAAGTCTAGCCTGCGTGTTCAAAGTTACACAGGCTCCAGTCACAAGTTACAGAATAAGATCTAACAAACTACACTAAGGGTGTGGGAACTAATTAAGCCATTTGGGGCTAACTATGCCCACCTCGTGTGACATCTGGCGCAGGGATCTGTTATCTCAGAATTAAAAACTAACATTGGGGATAAAAGATCTATAGTGGTACCTCAGGTTAAGAACTTAATTCGTTCTGGAGGTCCGTTCTTAACATGAAACTGTTCTTAACCTGAGGTACCACTTTAGCTAATGGGGCCTCCCGCTGCCGCCACGCCCCGGAGCACGATTTCTGTTCTCATCCTGAAGCAAAGTTCTTAACCCGAGGTACTATTTCTGGGTTAGTGGAGTTTGTAACCTGAAACATCTGTAGAAGCATCTGTAACCTGAGGTACCACTGTATTCTCTCTGATCTTAGCTCTATGCACCAGAATGCTAAGATAGGAGATAAGCTTATACAGCTGTCTTTTACCAAAGAAGAGAATGTGCAAGCACATACATAGTGCTAAACTGCTCTTTCAGCTCTATGTATCTTTAAAGGGGAACCACCCTTCCCTCATGATGGAGGAAGTGGGTTGGGAGAGGGTTTCTCAGGCAACAGGGTACCACTGTACCCGTAAGGTGCCATGCTAATGACCCCAGAGTTGGATTAGTAATTATTTTCATTTGTTGATAATAACCCTGGGAAAGTTGTTTGGACAAGAGACTTTGGAGATCCTCTGCCAGTCATTACAAAATGGACCAATGATCACATGTATTGAAAGGCAGCGTCAGAATATTCAATCTCCACATCAAGTGTAGGTGTTCCTTGTTAAATGTTCATGCTGCAAGAAACCAAGAACATAGTTTTGTATACTTGCTGCTGCAAACCAGCAAGGTTACCCTTCTAAACTTTCTAGCAGAGGTTGCAAAGATACACCTTTTGTGCATCATGTGGCTTGCTTATACAGTACCGGCTCCAATTTATTGCAAAATAAGCTCCAGTAAGAGTAAGTCAAAGCAGAGACTCCGTTTTTCTTCCCCCAAAGGGATACTGTTTACACACTTTGAAAACAAAACACAAATAATAGAGATGTTTTATGGGCCCTTGAACAAGGACAACATAGCATTTCCCCCCATTCCTCATGGTACACTCAGCCTTGCAAGACAACATCTAAGAGCAGATGCAAAGTGTGTTCTGTATCCCACTCTTCTCCCCAGCTAGAACATTAGCCTGCCACTGCCCAAAAACATTTTTCAATATTCTATACAGAATGTTCCTGTATGCAATTACTTTTAATGACAAACTGCAACAGTCCATAGAAGTACTTATGCTCTCCTACTTCCCCGAGAAACGAGATATTATGTTCAAGTTAGCATTTGTAAAGAAGATTTACCACCTGCCTTTCAGACAGAAAAAAAAATGGGACTAGTAAAGGGGGGGGGCAGATAGCTACCTTTATAAAAATCTATTGTCTTGGTAGCATCGCCAACCTTGGGGGGGAGGGCGCCTGTGGGCACATTTGCAAAATCAGAGAAACTGTCAGGAGCAACACACATAACCACACAACGAAGCACACGCACATTCTTAGTATTAAAGAGCCAATCTGAACTGTCACATTATACTAAAACAATAGTTTGCTTCTTACTGAATATCCTCCCTTTCTATCCATCTGCATTTGGCACTGACATATGCAAACCTCCCCATTTAAAGTATCAATCCCTTTCAGACGTAAGTACGGCAATGATGGGGCACGTCAAAGATGATAAAGGTAAGTGATTGGAACTGGCGTTTTGTCCTGGAAACATCTGCTATCACAAGTATGATGTTTATGAGGGAACAAAATGGTTGGAGAGAGCATTAACTTGCTTGTTCTTACATACAGCTATCAATTATGAGGCCTTTTCACAAGAGATACAAGGAGGAAAGGGGTTTTGTCCAGAACGGGGACTTTGTTATTATTGTTGACATGGGACATGAAAAGTGGAAGAGTGCCAACTTTAAAAATCAGTTGCCCATTGTGGCTGGTTTTGAGTGCACATTTACATTTCAGTAATGAGAAATGCAACACAGTACACAGATCCAAGTGACACTTGTGAAAAACACCATGATTTGAAGCAGTATACAACAACAGTTCAGCTGTAACATTACCCACAACCACAATTAGAAAATGTGAAAGCACCACACCCATGGCTGTTATGGTATCTGCCCTGTTCTTAAATCTTGGGTAATTATTCCTGTCTCTAAGTATTTCTCATCTACAAAATATAAGCCATCAACTGGATGCCCTTCCTGAGTCATGCATTAGAACTCCTTGTCTGTAGCCATTAGGGAAGGGCCATTGCTCAGCTGTAGAGCATCTTCTTCACATGCAGAACAGCTGAGGTTCAATCCTCCCGCCTCTCCAGGTAGGGATGGGAGAATTTCCTGCCTGAAATGATGCACAACCACTGCCAGTTGCTGCTGACAAGACTGGGCTTGATAGTCCAATGGTGTGATATAATATAAGGCAGATTCCTATGTTGCTATGTACAAACTCTCAAGAAGTGCAACAGGTTATCCCCATGATTCTACATTATTTGCATATCCCCTTGTCCCAGGGTACTGTTTTTAACCTTGCTCCACAGCTAGTGAACTCTGGGGTTGTAATTTACACAAAACGGGGGGGGGGGTGAGAGAGATTTCATAAACAGGAACCCTCTGCTCATTCTGCTATATAATCCTTAGGAGAAAGCAGCGTTATATCTGGATCAGTTCTCTGTGCTCCTCTAAAATTCAGTGGGTCAACCTTATTTCTCTCTGAAGCACTGAAACGTATCACTGAAACCGGAGCACTACCAGCAGCCATATGGATTATACCACAATCAGACATCTGAATAAGCAATTTCACTTTACAGTGGCTTTGGGGAACAGAAATCCAGTACTTTTTTAAAAAACACACCCCAAAACTCCCATGTCCTATATAAATTAACATGTTCTTAAACCAAGTCACTAAAATATAACAAGATTGAGTTCAGATTCAGGGAAATAAAAACACCGAGGCTGTCTAAATAAAATACTGACATGCATTCCTAAAGCTCAATTAAGTGAAAGACAACTTCTCTACATGACTACTTATTCCTCAGATACAGCCAACTCAGTACGGTCAGGGTAAATAAGAGAGTAATTTAATGCATTTGAAACTGTGAGAAAGACTGACATCTATATTCAGTCAGCAGCGGAGGAAGCGCTGCACGCCCAGTGGTGAGTACCACCCGCATTTTGTCACCCCCCCAGTGGTGACACCCAGAGTGGCCCGCACCCACCACATACCCCTTCCTCCGACCCCATATTCAGATCTATCTTAAATTAGTAAGGTAAAGGTAAAGGACCATTAAGTACAGTCAAAGGTCTATGGGGTGCAGTGCTCATCTTGCTTTCAGGCCGAGGGAGCCAGCGTTTGTTGACAGACAGCTTTCTGGGTCACGTGGCAAGCATGACTAAACCGTTTCTAGTGCACGGAACACCGTGACGAGTGATGAGTGCCAGAGTGCATGGAAAAGCTGTTTACCTTCCTGCTGCAGTGATACCTATTTATCTACTTGCACTAGCATACTTTCGAACTGCTAGGTTGGCAGAAGCTGGGACAGAGCAATGGGAGCTCACCCAGTCGCGGGGATTCAAACCACCGACCTTCTGATCAACAAGCCCAAGAGACTCAGTGGTTTAGACCACAGCGCCACCCATTCCCTTCCCTTCTTTTACCTTTTAGTAAAGATAGAGAGAGGTCTGTCATTGGGCAATAAATGCTGCCACCTGGCTAAAGTGTTGTGTGTTAGTCAAAACAAGGTTAAAAAAGGCCAGGATTCTAAGATATATTTTTGCATGCAGTGAAGAGCATTACATCCAAATTCCACTTCAACAGTTCCTACTGAAGAGCCAATACACTTTTTAAAACTGCATAACAGCTTGCCATTTCAACAGTGGGAGCTGCTGAAGTGAAAACAGAAGTGAAGCTCTAGGCAATGCAAACGGTGTGCAAAACGCACACATAGGTTCTTCTGAAAACCAGCCAAGAAAATATTTCCTAAACACACAATGAATGGAATCCAAATATCCACTTTAGGCAAGCCCAAGGGTTTGGCACATGATATATTTTGCCTTTCAAACCCACATGCCATATGAAAAATGCTTTTGAAAAACTCTCCATCAACCTACCCAATTTAAAGAGTGGTTTGCCACTTGACAAAGGAGACTACAATATTCATTAGCCATTCCCTTATAAAAAGCCTAGGTGCTCAGGGAAAACTCCTGATGACATTCCAATACACAAGCTAATAGAATCCATAATTACAAATATTTGTGGTGTTTACAAGGACTCCACTGGTATTAATTTTGCATTGTGTAGTTTTTGAATTTGATGGCCCCATGAGTGCATTTTCCCAAGCTGATTACAGGCTCTTTTACAGAGCGATACCAATTGAGGCCACTCAAACAAAAACAAAAACAGAAGACCATATAAGTTAGGAAAGATATTGAGCAGTACATAGTCTACATCAACTTGCAAGTCTGCTGAATCTACACAGAGGAAGAGGCCAATTTATTTTCCTTTTCCAAGATGCTTAGCCAAGAATGTGAAGAATTTAGAATGAACTGAACCAGCAAAATGTGTAGAGATGGTGTTATTAGACATTTATAGTTACTTTACAAATATGCTAGCAGCAGACGGCAGGACCCTTCAACTTTCACAAACATACATGAGTACTTGGAGCCAAGAAACAGCATAAAACTGTATGGCATATTTTAGAGGGCACACAAACACAAGCTTGTTCAAATGACAGACAAAATCTCTTTGAACAAAAAAAGAAATTAATTTTCAATTGCACTCTCTTCTCAAAATGAAACTCTTGTCCATTAAAAAGTTTGAGGGAGGAGAAAGATGGATGTAGGAAAGTTCTCTACATCATTACTGTAGTTATTACAAATAAATACCCGTATTTTTCGCTCTATAACACGCACCGGACCATAACACGCATGTAGTTTTTAGAGGAGGAAAACAAGAAAAAATATATTCTAAATGAAACAGTGGATGTATGATTTTTGTGGTTCATGCTGTGGCCACAGACATGTGATCTGACAGTGAGTTTGGAGTAGCCCAATGCAAAATCCTGAGGATCCATGTGGATCCATGCTTTGTAACCACGTTTTTGCACCACTGCGGCCCCAGGCAACAGTGGGTGCGTGATTTTTTTGGTGCAAGATGTAGCCATGAACATGCTATGTGATCTGATGGTGAATTTGGGGTGACCCAGTGCAAAAATCCTGAGGATCCATGTGGATCCGTGCTTTGTAACCACGTTTTAAGTGGGGAGGGAAGGAAAAGCACTCAAGGGACAAGGAGCATGTGTGGGGTGGGTGGAGAAGGATGCTGCTAATAATGAAGAAGAGGGGTATAAGGGGAGAAGGCTCCTCTCCTCTCCCACTTTGCTCCTTAAAAGCAAGCAGGCTCTGCTTTTCTTCCTCCTCCCCGCTCATCCCCGGCTTAGCGAGATTAAAAACTTTGCTGCTATGTAGTGAGCTGAGTGGGGGAGAGAGAGGGACAGAGAGCCTGCTTGCTTTAAAGGAACCAACCGGACAGGACTCCTCTCCTCTCCCGCTTTGCTCCTTTAAAGCAGCAGGCTCTCTGTCCCTCTCTCCTCCCCACTCAGCGGCTCTTCTCCCGCTTTGCTGTTTCAAAGCGAGCCACTGAGGAGGGAAGGAAGGGGAACCATGAATCCTCTGCTCACGACTGCAGCAGATCCCCCCCGCCACCTGTAGGCATTCCCTCCATAACACGCACAGACATTTCCCCTTACTTTCTAGGAGGAAAAAAGTGAGTGTTATGGTGCAAAAAATACGGTAATAAAGAACAAGAACATTCAAGAACATACCTCGTCACAAAAATCCCTTATAAAACACTTTCCCCCTTTAGAATAATACTGAAACGGCCATGAAAAAGCAGCACGTTTTGAGAATTATGCAAAGCAGTGAAAACTAAGGTAACTTTTGTAATCTGGCATGGTGAAAAAATAGGTTGCAAGCAGCAGCATAACAGAGGAGCTGACCTTCAATAAAGTCTTTGCAAAGGCTGCGCCAATAAGCCCCTGCAAATATGTGAAAGTGTTATCTAATTGTTTGCTTCCCACTGAAGCATCCCCATCCATTCACTTATTTCATATACAGTGGTACCTCGGGTTACATACGCTTCAGGTTACATACGCTTCAGGTTACAGACTCCACTAACCCAGAAATAGTACCTCGAGTTAAGAACTTTGTTTCAGGATGAGAACAGAAATCGTGCTCCGGCGGTACAGCAGCAGCCAGAGGCCCTATTAGGTAAAGTGGTGCTTCAGATTAAGAACAGTTTCAGGTTAAGAACGGACCTCCGGAATGAATTAAGTACTTAACCTGAGGTACCACTGTAAAACCTAACAAATATAGACCAAAGTGGTGAGCACAATGGCCATTTACATTTTTCCGCAAACTGGAAAGCTGGGATGCGACAGGGAGAGGTGGGGCAGGAAGGTGATGAGCTTGGGATTGCGTGGGCACCCTAACAGAAACCTCTCTGCCCTGTCTACGCTTTGCACTGCCCTGTCTCTGCTTTGCAGCAATGCCACTGTTAGGAGAGCTATGCCATGGTCTCGGTATGGCTGCTTCTCTGTCTACAAACCTGCAAGAGAGGGCCTTCTCGGTGGCGGCTCCCAAACTTTGGAACTAGAGAATTTAAACTGGCTTGCTTTCATGTTGTCCTGTTTGCTGGTGAGGACTTTCTTGTTCCAACAGGATTTTGGGAACTGACTGCTTTTAAGGAAAGGGCTAGTGCAGGCTTTCTCAGCCTTGGCCCTCCAGATGTTTTGAGACTACAATTCCCATCATCCCTGACCACTGGTCCTGCTAGCTAGGGATCATGGGAGTTGTAGGCTAAAAAACATCTGGAGAGCCAAGGTTGAGGAAGCCTAGGCTAGTTCTACGATGTTTTTGTTGTAATGATCTGTGTGTTTTAGTACACATATATCATAATTCTATTAATGCTCATTTGTTTTTAATGATTGCTTCCCCTCACCTATGTTTTTAAGCTGTTTCTATTTTAGCTGTAAGTCACCATGGGTCTCTGTCAGGGGGAAAAGGCAGGGTATAAGTAAATATAATAATCATGAAATTCACATTCAAGGGGGGGAAATTTGAACAATTTTTCATAATTGGCTAATGTGTACTTTTTCTTCCCAATAGGAATGTTTCCCATCGCTCATTCATCAAGCATTCTTTGGTGAGGGCACAATCCAAACTCCTGCTTGGGAGCAGTGGGCATCAAGCCCTTGAGCTACTTGTGCCAGCCAGGAAGGGGAGGGTGGGGCAGTAACTGCACTATTCTTTTTAAGTCCTAACTCCTTTCTGCTCTTTGCTTCACCTAACAGAAGTCACTGCAGGCAACAGAAAGGACCTTTTTCTTAAAGTGCAACATCCTTCATTCTTTAGCTTGGGTATATTAAAACCAGTGGGAGTTATATCATAGGATTTATGTGAGATGTGAAGATCACTGGTGGCTTACAACTAGCGATAGATGGGGGCAAACTGCGATCCAGTTCACATTTAAAGGCAAACCTTTAAAAAATGTATTTGAGTTAACAGTGATCTGTCAGTAGGCTTCATGGTTCCCCACTGGTCTCTGAAGCTCACACAGTCAAGGCACTTAGACAGGTTTCCTTAATTACTTTTTCTAGGAATCATTTCTTTCCCTCCAGAGAGTGAACGTGTGGCTCTAGTATGTTGGATTGTTGCGCAAGTATTGCAGCAATACTGCAGAACCTAAGATTTGCCCAGAGAAGCAGACTGGGTACTGTACAAGTTGAGAAGACTTCTGGGAGTAGCAGATATATTGTTGAAAGAAAGGGGGTTTTTACGTAAGAATATCTACATGGTTTTCATAAGAACAATAAAGCATTTAAAAAGAATATTCAGCAACATATTACTGGGGCATGGTGTTACTAGTATGCTGCTGATGCTGTTCATACCCAGCTCTATTTTGTAGTATCTGAATCAGGAGAGGCCATGCATGTCCTAAACTGGTGTCCAAATGCACTTATGAGCTTGGTGACAGCTAGTAAACCGTGGCTGAATCCTGACAAGATGGATGGGAATTGGGTGTGCCTGGGAATTAGATGTGTACCAGCTTTTGGATGGATATCCTATGAAACCACAGGTGAGTGGTCTGGAGGTGCTCCTAGATTAATCCCCATTATTTGAGGCCCCATGTGGCCAGACAGCCCACTATGAACTTCACCAACTACAGCATGAAGCTACTAACATGAGTTTGACCAAACTGCAGGAAGCAGTGGAAGACAGGAGAGCCTGGGGTGCTCTGGTCCATGGGGTCATGAAGAGTCAGATACAACAACAACAACAACAACAACAACAACAACAACAACAACAAATAATAATAATAATTATTATTTATTATTTATATCCCGCCCATCTGGCTGGGTTTCCCCAGCCACTGTGGGTGGCTTCCAACAAAATATTAAAATACAGTAGTCCATCAAAGATTAAAAGCTTCCCTAAACAGGGCTGCCTTCAGATGTCTTCTAAAAGTCTGGTAGATGTTGTTCTCTTTGATATCTGGTAGGAGGGCATTCCACAGGGTGGGCGCCACTACTGAGAAGGCCCTCTGCCTGGTTCCCTGTAACTTGGCTTCTCGCAGTGAGAGAACCGCCAGAAGGCCCTCGGCGATGGACCTCAGTGTCGGGGAAGCATGATGGGGGCGAAGACGCTCCTTCAGGTATACTGAGCCGAGGCCGTTTAGGGCTTTAAAGGTCAGCACCAACACTTTGAATTGTGCTCGGAAACGTACTGAAAGCCAATGTAGGTCTTTGTTATGTGGTGTTATGTGGTCTCGGTGGCCACTCCCAGTCACCAATCTTGCTGCCGCATTCTGGATTAGTTGTAGTTTCTGGGTCACCTTCAAAGGTAGCCCCACATAGAGTGCATTGCAGTAGTCCAAGCGAGAGATAACCAGAGCATGCACCACTCTGGCAAGGCAGTCCATGGGCGGAGAGGGTCTCAGCCTGCGTGCCAGATGGAGCTGGTAAACAGCTGTCTTGGACACAGAATTGACCTGCGCCTCCATGGACAGCTGCGAGTCCAAAATGACTCCCAGGATGTGCACCTGGTCCTTCAGGGGCACAGTTACCCCATTCAGGACCAGGGAGTCCTCCACACCTGCCCGCCTCCTGTCCCCCCAAAACATTACTTCTGTCTTGTCAGGATTCAGCCTCAATCTGTTAGCCACCATCCATCCTCCAACCGCCTCCAGACACTCACACAGGACCTTCACTGCCTTCTCTGGTTCTGATTTGAAAGAGAGCTGGAGCTGGGTATCATCTGCATACTGATGAACTCCCAGCCCAAACCGCCTGATGATCTCTCCCAGCGGCTGCATGTAGATGTTGAAAAGCATGGGGGAGAGGACGGAACCCTGAGGCACCCCACAAGTGAGAGCCCAGGGGTCTGAACACTCATCCCCCCCACCACTTTCTGAACACGGCCCAGGAGGAAGGAGCAGAACCACTGTATAACAGTGCCCAAAGCTCCCAGCCCCTCTAGACGGTCCATAAGGATGTTATGGTTGATGGTATCAAAAGACGCTGAGAGATCCAGCAGAAGTAGGAAACAGCTCTCACCTTTGTCCCTAGCCTGACGGAGATCTTCGACCAGTGTGACCAAGAGAGTTTCAGTCCCATGATGAGGCCTGAATCCCGATTGGAAGGGATCCAAACGACTAAACAACAACAACAGCATCTGAAGGGGCACAACATTCCCATCCCTAGTCTAGATTTCAGCCAATGGTTTCATTCACATACACAGTGAATCAAGTTCAAAGTTTCTTAGTTAAGTAAATTATTACAGTGGTGCCTCGGAACTCGAACGTAATCCATCCCGGAAGACCGTTCGACTTCCAAATGTCCAAGTTCCAAGGCACGGCTTCCGATTGGCCATCAGCTTGGTTTTTGCACAGTGGAAGCCGCATTGGATGTTTGTGTTTCGAGGAACATTCGAAAACCGGAGCACTGACTTCCAGGTTTTTGACATTTGAGAATGGAGCTGTTTGAGTTACGAGGTAACACTGTATAGAGAAAAGACTGCAATCATGCTGTTACATAATATACTCATGGAAGTTTTGGTAGATAAGCCCTTTGCAGGCAGAGGGGTAAAATCCTGTTTTGTCTGTGAAGTTGTTCCTATTTTTAGCTATCTGAACACAGCCTTGCTCAGGGCCATTTCTATTTGCTTACGGTTCGTTTTCTATTCAGCCAACTTCTGTCAACTTCCAAAAGAATTACAAAGCATTTTCTGTACAGATAATATTTCCCAGGTTAACCTCAATTGCTATAAAACTTTGAGGTCCTTTTATCTTCCTTTTAAGATGTTAGAAGTTTCACTGAAAATACAGCTACAGTGTGCTGGCAAGAGTTCAGTTGATAAAAACTGCTAATGGGAAGGGGCTATTTTAAAAATATAGTTATAAAGGTGAAAGTTAAAAGGTCCAAGCCTTTGTAATTATTATTTTTTAAGAGCTAGCACACAAAAACAGAGAAAGTTCATAAGGAGAATAATTTAGACACCCTTTTTGAGGCTAAAAGGAAAGAAAGTGGAGCTAAGAAAGATGCAGCCAACAGTATTTGTACCTTTTCAAACGATGCTCCTTTTTGCTCACTGGTTTTATTTAGTGAGCCAGATCCCCCTATCTGCAAACTCATGGGATAAATTTAAAATGAACTTAAAAGCTTAGCCTTGCAAGGTGTTTTTGATTTTTTTTAAAGGTGTGTTAGTCAACCTTCATGGTGTAGAACTTGAACCCTCTTTATATATAGAAATACACACATGGAAAAGGCCTCAACATACAACACTGGCAAAACTCCATGTGGCAATCCATTTTTGCAAGCCACTGCCTGCTGATCCTTAGAGCAGGAGTTAGACCTCACTTTGACAGAACAGAATAAAGTCGAAGACCATTGATGCTTCAAATCCAGACTGGGAAGCAGCAGATTGAGAAATCTAGATCAGCCTGAGTTCTCCTCCGCTATTTTGGCATCACAGTGATAGCTGCATCAGGCAAAAAGTTTTATTTGTTTCTATACCACCAAACATAAAAAAGTTGAAAAAACTCAATGTGATCACCAACATAAAATCACCAAGGAAAAGAACAGTATAACTTGCAATTCAAATGAATCATGAACTTAAGCAGACCACCCCTCAGGGATAACTTGAGTGAACAAATGAGCATTAAGCAGGCTCTGAATCACCAGGACTGTAGATATTTATTGAGAGTGCATTCCAAGGGCAGGTCTTGTTACACTAAAGGTGCTGCTTTTAGCAAACGTTAGATGAACCTTATGAGAATGCAGCAGTACTGAAATTGTCTCTCCCAACTGCAACTCCCATCATCCCTAATGGTCAGTGGTGGCCAGTGGACAGGGATGATAGGAGTTGTAGTGAAGCAGCACCTGGAGGGCACCACATTGGCCATCCCTGATTTAATGTATGAAGCACCAGCTGTAAGTGCAATCCTGTCCAAGAGGAGGGTCACAACCCATCTATCTTCAACTGTACTCCAGAGCTATAAATGCAAAATCTTTGCTCCTGCCTAGTGAATGGGAAAGCTGCTTCTGTATAACACAAAGTGTTTTTACAGAGATCTCAAAAACTGGACAGATCAGAACCCAGTTTTCAAGCCTGACTTGGAAGAATATAGTTTTGCAAGGCATTCCATCATCAATTCAACAAGAACCCAGTCTGCAAACATTAAAAAACCTAATACTCTATAATTAAAACTTCCACTGCTAATCTACATTTTTGCATACTTCTAAAAAAGAAGCTTAAAACCACAAAAGCATAAAATAATACTCACACATTAATTCCACAGAGTTTCTAGCCTGAAAAAAATTGTTGGGGAAGGAGGACAGAACTGCGGCAACATGAGGTAGGTGCTACAGTCATTTTAGATATTTGTGAGCCCAGCACACTCATCTTACTACAGCTGCAAATTACAGATATCAGCAGCACCATCACCCAGATGACCTTATTTCACCAGGAAGGTTACAGGACAGGCAGGTGCAACTTCTCCCCGACTGCACATTTAGTATGGAAGAAAACTGTTAAACTGGCAAAGCTAGAAACATGTTTAGGTGTTTGGGAAAAAGAAATCAGAAGTGTGGTGGAACACTTACGATCAAGTCCGTTGATGTATCTCATTGTGATTTCACAGTGCCCCCATACTGCACTGACTATAGGATAGAGTTTTTTCCCTTTTAGTCCCCTGAAGGCCACTCCAAGGTACTGTCCATCCACAATGAAGCTAAGCGTCCCTTCATCCATATCCAAAACCACCAGTAAGGAGTCTGGGAGTACAAAAGACTCATCTGGTTCCAAAAATACAGGATATGTCACCCCAGGCTGATTTTTGCAGTTGTGATAAAGTTTGTTGCGCCCAAGGTCCCAGCCCCATGACTCATTATTGCTACCAACCAACGACGTATATCCTACAGAATGCAAAGGTGCTTCTGCCGTTGACACTCCAACCACAGCGTGTGTTCCTCGCTGCCTGGCGGGCCAGTGGATCTGCCAAACATGTAGGCCCCTCGTATACCCAACTTTGCCTCGGATGCAGTCTGTGCTTTGGGCTACCGGATGTCTGTGAAATGTCAGTTTGTCATCTTCCTTCACAAATATATTTAAGGATCGGTCTTCATTGTTCCAAGCGTGCTTGTACTGGACCTCCAAATGGGCCGGGGGCATATCCAGCAACATATCCAATCTCGCAGGCTTGCAGAAATCTGGACCCCTCAGTTCCCTTTTGACAGGTCTGTAAGGGGGTTCCCGAACATCGACAGACTTTATGCTCCCTGAGATTTTTTGGCCCATTGCTTGGCTGCAGATTGCTTGGCTGCAGGGAACGAAGGGTGGATCTGGTCCCAGTGTTAACTCATGAAAACACTTTCAAGCTGAGCCAGTGGACTCTGTGCATGTAGACTGAATTTACTCTTGCCTTCTGGACCCGTCTAGAGCCAATGTTTTCTGAGAATACACTCCTAGGGGGGAGAAAAAGTAGAGAGAGTCTCCAGTTAAAAAGCAGTCAACTTATAACCCACATATGTATTCTTGAAAATTTCTATGATTGGTGCCAAGTTATTTTAAAATGAAGAACTGACAATTCTCGGCTTCATGGGCTTTGTACAACAGCGGCCACTAGCCAGACTGTCAGCAGGATATATTGAGCCTGCAGTGTTCCAAATACAGACAGCAATTTCCGTCTTTTCATAATAGACACAGACATTCCACACCTTTTGCCCTTCCACCCATATAGTCTACTCAGCGCTGTCACATTGTACAAGAGCTCTTCTCTTCATTATCAGGTATGCATGAGACCATCCATTTTCACTTGTGCTTCTTTATAGTGCTTCAAAAAGAAATTCTTTCGGCAAGCTTTTTACCTCTAGCATTTCTCTTTTCTAAATCTGCCTTTCTAATCCGAATACCTTGTAAAGGAACCCAGACTAGCATAGCTGGAAGGTATCCCTGGATGATAGCAAACAGCTGTGAAACTTGATACTTCACCTTTTTAAAAAAAGCCATGCCCCTTAAATAAATATATACGGCAAAACTTGTTTTACGATTTGTGATGGGCTTCTGAAAAGGAAGCTGGAGAGATTTAACAAATGCTTATGGTTCTGAAACGTCTTTTGACCAGCCCATCCTGTGGATTGTTTGGTTTGAAAATACAAATGGAGGTGTTAAGTGGTACTGCTACTATGCTGAAAAGCCTGAGCAGGATACTGCCTGCAAATGTATTTATTTAGGCTACATACCACGCCAAAAATCCATGGGTCTTTGACATGAGGTATTTCACATCCAACATGCTTTTCGATGGTGCATTACATTAACCATCTTGTTGAAAAAGAGACACTGAATATTCACTTTTATTTGTGCTAGGGAGCCACAATGAGCCACAAGTTGTGTGCTAAGACAGCTCTGTGTGTGTTTAAGGACACCCTCTCAAAAGGTTGCAACGTCTACACAGCTCAAAAGAAAGCTACATGTTTTAAGTTTCCAGACTTCAAGTGATGTATATTCACACAACAGCAATTCTGAATGCCCAATAGTAAAACACCAGAAGTCAATTTCACCAAGGCTGCACATAAACAATGCCAAAATCCCATCTAGACAGGAAAGAATACTCCCAACACAGAAGACTGGTTTACAAACTGTATAATGTCATGTGTTAAAAGACTGTGTACTTAATTGTAGCTAGGCAAATTCTTGGCTAGGTTACTGGAAGATTGCTGAATTATAATATGCAAGTGTGCAAAGTCCCCATGCATGAAGTCTTCATAGCAACTTAAACAGACCATTTTTATTAAAGCAAGCAGTAAAGTCATTAAATGTGCAGTCATACCTCACATTTACAGCCGCTTCAGGTTGCGTTTTTTCAGGTTGCGGAGCGCCGAAACCCGGAAGTACCAGAACGGGTTACTTCCGGGTTTCAGTGGTCGCGCATGCGCAGAAGCGCCAAATCGCAACTCGCGCATGCGCAGACGCGGGTTGCAAACGTGCATTCCACACAGATCATGTTCACAACCAGAGTGTCCACTGTATTTAAGTGTTCACACACACACACACACACACACACACACATTACATTCAGTATCTCATCACAATTTGATGTTGTATCTTGTTCAAGAAACTGATAGCTGGTGAGTTAAGGGAGATGGCCATCTAATTTTGAAAAAATCATTATCTTTGGTGACCTTGACTGGACTGAGTTGAATGCCTTCAATAACTACTTCTAAATATGATTTCAGAACATCTCAAAGTATATTGAAAAGTACTATAGCAGTCTTTCAGGAATCCAAGAAATTTTCAACCTGCATCTGAGGTAAAGGAGGGCTGAGCATCACCTGACAGAAGGCCCCATAAGCATCTTCAAAAAGGCAGCATCCTTCAGAGTATAATTCCATAAAATGTAAGGAGCTGCTGCAAGGAGTGAAGACATTTCCCCAGTACACATACAGAACCACTTCATGCATACATAGCCCTCTTAGATAGATCCATGTATGGAAATTATTGGGGATTGCCAAAAAGTTACAACAAAATATTTGGGGGGCAGACTTTACTGTATGTAGCCATTGGCTTTGAACCAGGTAGCAAGCATCATTAGATATTGATGGTAAAGGTAAAGGTAAAGGTACCCCTGACCATTAGGTCCAGTCGCAGACGACTCTGGGGTTGTGTGCTCATCTCACTCTATAGGCCGAGGGGGCCAGCGTTTGTCTGCAGACAGCTTCCGGGTCATGTGGCCAGTATGACTAAGCCGCTTCTGGCGAAACCTGAGCAGCACACGGAAACGCCGTTTACCTTCCTGCAGAAGCGGTATCTATTTATCTACTTGCACTTGACGTGCTTTCAAACTGCTAGGTGGGCCAGAGCTGGGACCAAACAACAGGAGCTCACCCCATTGAGGGGATTTGAACCGCTGAGCTTCTGATCGGCAAGCCCTAGGCTCTGTGGTTTAGACCACAGCGCCACCCGCGTCCCCTGATATTGATAGTACACACCTCTAAAGTTAAAGAACTCTCAACTGCTCTTGTGTCTCTTCTTTCTCCTATAAGCCACTATGTGTCTAAGAGTGACTGATCTTTTTTAAAGCAGTTCTTTCTTTCAAAGCTTTTCATGGTGGAGAAAACACATCTTTGGGCCACAGAAAGTGGCAGCAATCTCAGCACGTTTCCTAACCCGTTCTCTAGTGCTCACACTGCAAAAACAATCTTCTCCAGGACTCTAGACAATGAAAGTGAAGGTAAGGCTAGAAAATGCTTGCAACTAGAAACGCCTTCACACATGAACACACAAAGAGGTTAGTAGATATAGAATTCCTTGCAAACCTTCATACCGCCTATAGTCTCTGGAGGGGAACAACTGGCATAGCAGATTATAGCTTCTTAACAAGATTGCCAATATGCGATGCTGATGGAAGGATACAAGCAGCTAACTCTGCCACACACACAAAGCCTTGCACATTTATAATTCTCCTTCTATTATGGGAAAGAGGGAAAGAGGCTATGTGATTCCTCCAAGTTAGTTTCAATGGCATGACCTCAAACAAATACAAATTCTTCCCAATAAACTGAAGCGGGAATGGAAGAGAGTATGCCCAGAAATCAATATTCAGTTTTCCTCCATTGTGGGATGCAATTCATAGTACCAAAGGTAAGCCAAAGGGCAAGCCTGCCTGACTAACAGCATTGTGATCAGCTCCCTTCCTGACCTTTTGCAATACAGAATGCAAAAAAAAAATTCGATATACACAATAAGGAATATTTACACATGGTGCATGTTAAACAATCTCCTCCTGATTCACTTGCAAATTGCAAAAGAACACTTTAAAAGTTATCCTATATTACATGCCAAGATCATGCCTTTACTGGTTGTTGTTTTTAAGCCATGATAATTTGCTCAAGACACATCCAAATTCTCATTTCTCTGCCAAAACATTTTATGTTTCTGGTTAACTTTTGGCATTTACAGAAGCCGTGTACTACTGGCCACCTCACATAAACTGAACACAGTGGCAAATGAACAGGGCACTAACACTCTGGTTAGCTCTGCTGAAAGGAACTGATTCATTGCAGAAGCCTGTGAATGTTTACTCAGAAGTCAGCCTCTCTGTGATCAACAAGATGAACTGCTGGGTAATCACATATAGGACTGCAGCCTTACTCTTTTGAGAAAAAAACCCATTAACTCCTGTAGGAGGCAGAAATATTTCTGTAATGGTTTCACAAGCATCCCCCACATAGCTGGGAAATGGTCAGATTAAAAGCACGGCATGCACCCAGCAGTGAGCAAGCCAAAGCCAAGCCGGAAAAAGAGTGTCAGTTTCACTTTCCAGCACTCTCAGTGGAGCTGCCAAGACATTAAAGAATGTTATTCTCAGCACTAACAGTTAAATTGAAATCTTACCCGAAAAATTAAGTTGGGGAGATGCTATTTCACCGTTTAAAAAAAATGCAGCCTGATACTGGGACAAGATAAGCATGTCAGACTTCCTGCAACACACAACGCTACTGAAAACATCCGGAAAACATTTGCAGATCTAGTTATGATCATTTCTAAACATCAAATTAGATACACTCTTTGATTTGCAGCAAATAAAACCATACAGAGATATTGAATGGATAGCAGAATGATTACATATAGAGATACCAGGGGTTTGAACATGTTATGTTTTTCTTACTATTTTTACTTGTCCAGGCACCTGGTTTTCCTTTTTCAATGAAACAAACAACACCCTCCCTGTTTACACACACGAATCCCTCACTACTACAGTCTTGTAAATAACTGTTTTAGAGAAGAACTGATGTTTCCACCCACTCGCCCAATATGCCCACAACTCTTACCCAGCCTGGTCCCACTAGTGCTCTCCAGATGTTTTGGAGTATAATCCCACCACCACAACCAGAGCACCTAACGGTCACAAATGATGGGAGCTGCAAGTCCAAAACTTCTGGAGGACTCCTTGCATAAAAGCCTCCCTACAAAAAGAGAACCTCACAGTGGAATCTCTTGATCAGAGTAGACCTAAGCATACACAGAATCACAGAACTGTAGGAGTTGGGAGGGACCACGAGGGCCATCAAGTTCAACCCCCTGCAATGCAGGAACCTTTTGCCCAATGGGGCAGGTAAAGGAGGTAAAGGACCCATGGGCGGTTAGGTCCTGTCAAAGGCAACTATGGCATTGTGACGCTCATCTCACTTTCAGGCTGAGGGAGCTGGCATTTGTCTACAGACAGCTTTCTGGGTCATGTGGCCAGCAGGACTAAACCGCTTCTGGCACAACAGGACACCGTGACAGAAACCAGAGCGCATGGAAATGCTGTTTACCTTCCCACCACAGCGGTAACTATTTATCTACTTGCACTGGCTTGCTTTTGAACTGCTAGGTTGGCAGGAGCTGGGACAGAGCAACAGGAGCTCATCCTGTTGTGGGGATTCGAACTGCCAACTTCTGATCGGCAAGCCCAAGAGGCTCAGTGGTTTAGACCACAGCGCCACCCGTGTCCCTTTTGCCCAATAGGGCACTCAGAGCCATGACCCTGAGATTAAAGAGTCTTATGCTCTACTAACTGAGCTATTCCAGCTATCTAACATGGCACAGGGAAACTCTTCCTTGACCCAAGAAGGAACACTTTTATCATTCCTTACTCAACCCTGCATCCTCTGATTACCACCCTTCCCAAAGCCTATCAACTTGATACTTCTGTAGAAAAGTCCGCCCGCCCGCCCCCCCCCCCCGGCACACCTTCTGTAGGCTACATACATATGTCAGTTCAGGGGCAGCTCCCATTGTTCATACAAGTGACATTATTTGTGCAAACCAATTTTCACAGCATTTCTATCTTTCAGGTCTTCTTAAAGGAGTAGCGGACATGGTATCCTTCCCATTCTGCACATTCAGATAGAGAAGAAGAGAGGCGATGAATTAAAGGCAGTCAAAAGGGTGGGAGGCGGGGAAGAGTTCAAACAAGAATGGATGCGCCATGCAGAGAATTCAGCAGGGCGGTACTACCGAAGCCACCAGAGCACAATTCATCTCTGCCAACACACTTTATTCCTCTCCGACACAGAACTGTCACGTTGCAGGACTGTGGCTGCTTTTAGAAGCGATGGCTTTTAGTCTGGAATGAGTCACTTCTGAATGTTAAGAGTGAAAATGCAAGGGGCCCTTCTCTTTAAAGAAAACAACGAACCTCTGATGATGACTTTGAAGCAGCAACAGGCTGGTATGAGGGAGGAATTTCTTCAGGTATGCTTCTGGGAAGGCATGTCTCTTTCAAATCCCTTTGGGAAGTCACAAGGAGAACATGAGGACCACAGTTCTCTCTTGTTGTTGCTTCCCCAATGACTGACATTCAAAGGCAATTAGTAGCCACTGATAGCTTTACCTTCCATAAATTTGTCTAAAGCTCTCTTTCAAGCCATCCAAGATGATGATCATTGCTTGTGCCAGCAAATTCCATAAGTTAACTATGTGCTGTATGAAGAACTGCTTCCTTTTGTTTGTCCTGAATCGCTGCCAATCAGCTTCATGTGGATGACCTTGAGTCCAAGTGTTATACGGGTGGGTGTGTGAAACCTCTCTCTTCACTCTCTCCTCATAAGCAGATCTCCCCACCAACCCCAAAAACAGAACTAATACTATTGCACCTCGCACCATTTCGAAATTATGCACAATGCTAAAGCGAAACCAAAAATCTGTACAACTCAAAATAGTGGGGAAAGGAACCACAAAGGGCTGGGGGATACACAAGACACAGCACACCAGTAATATAAACTACCAGAAATATTTCAGGAACTGACATTATTACTGAGACATCTGGAATGTTAATTTAAGTCAGGTGTAACTAATCTGCTCCGAGAACAGACCCAAGAAAAAGGTCACAACCTCGCCTTGTAAAGACAAATAAGTTTTTCTTAGAAAGCAAATGCTGTAGCATCCAAACACTCGATTGAACCGTCAGACATATGGAGATGGCCTGAAGGGATCGTATGTATAAATATGTAACAATGATACATGAAAAGTGTAATTATGAGCATTGCAAAATTATCACCTCAACTGTATGACCTCTCAACAAACTAATGATTCCTTTGTGATTTCATAAATTAAGCCTCAATGCTCCATATCCAAATTTGGCAGCAGAACCATTTGGCAACAGGTTAGGATGCAGAAGAAGCCCATTTAATTGTATAATCATGGTTTGGCTACAGCTGGGTTAAAACTCTTGTTGCCACAGGCTACCTCTTCCTAAATTCCTGTTGCCCAACAGTATACTGGCATTACTGTGTTTTTCTGCACAAATGGAAGCTCCCAGATCCTTGTCACAATGACCTTTAAATCTGTTCATCTTCTTGTAAAAGTTTCATATTAAAGCAAAAAACTTAACTAACAGCCCTTTAGTTTCCCCATTTGTTAGTACCTTTTCCAGTTTTGTTTTCTCCAGTTGTAAGTTTCCCAACCATGTATGTTGGACCGAGTGCTTTTGGTAAAATACTCTTCAAGTATTGTATTGGCGGATATTGAAAACATTCTGTGTCTAGACAATGCTTGCTCATTTATAATAAAGGGGCTGAATCAGTCCACTTTATTTCCCAGTTTTGAAAAATATGAGTATACCCTTCTATACTGTCTTGTTATGGTATGATATTAAAAATGGAAGTTTGTGTACTTGCAAGGTCTAGAATCATAGTTCTGTTTTCCTACAATGATACCTACATATTTTGGAGAGCAACTAGCTCCTATCTCCTGAAAATGAAAGCTATAAGTCTGACTCAGTTATCCTCAATAATATTTTGCCATGTACAGTGGTAGAGGATACAGTTATGGGTTTGTTGTTGTTTTTTAATTACTATTATGTCTTTGGCTTTTTAAAACACTTTCGCACCTCAACTTCCAAGTCTCACACACAGGGGCATGCAGATTCTGGTAGATTTTACCCTTTAGTAAAGGCAATACCCTCAGCAAAAATGGAAAGCAGAAACTGGTGAATAATATGCTTTCATTAAAGAGTGATACTCTTAACATTGAAGAGAGCTGCCAATTGTATGAGAGAGATTAAGGGATTGCACATTGTTCCCTGAGGAAGAGGTTTGCTAGTATAATTTGGAGGAAGTATTATAATTCAGCCAAGCACTCAAAATGAGGTTGATTAGTTTGCCAATGACAAAAGGCAAGAATACACCCCACTGAGACCTGGCATTCTTAACTTTCCAAGTTCTACCATCATCTGTTGATTATGTGACAATAGCTTTCAGCACAATGGCTAAAAAAGACTTTGGTGGTAAAGGGGGCTGGGGGAGTGGAGATCTCTTTATGCTATGGGGCAATACTCTTAAGAGAATTTCAATTATAAGAATGTGAATGGAGTCTGAATGGATTCTACACATTAGTTGCTGCTGAGGATTTACAGCTTAGTATCATGTTTCTCTGAAGATTCATGCTCTTGATTTGTTTCTACTGCAGTCCTGCAAAAAGACTCAAAAACCACAAACATTAAAGAGCACAACTAAAAGCCACAGTAGCGCCTTAACACAATCTAACAGAATTTTCTTTCGCAAACTATTTTTTCAGAAGAACAAACTGTACCACTTAAGACAAATTAAGGTTTCTGAGGGTCACAAGATAAGGCATTATCTATCTATCATCTATCTATCTATCCATCCATCTATCTATCATCTCGCACCTGGCCTCTCACTAAACTGAAGGGCGAGACAAAATCATTTACGACCACAATAATCCCACAGTATAGAGTTATCCTCAATGAATTCAGTGGGACTTACTTCTGAGTAGCCAAGCATAAGAGCAGACATCAAATATTTTGATTTGACTACAAATTTATATGAGTAAATTAATATGAACCCTTGAAAGTTGTTAACAATTTATTCAGCAGCTGCCTATTTAGGAAGACCCCTACGAGACCGGTAACAGACTGGTTAGTCCTTAAAGGAAAAGGTACCCCCCGCGCCGACCGTTGGGTCCAGTCGCGGACGACTCTGGGGTTGTGGCACTCATCTTGCTTTACTGGCCAAGGGAGCCGACGTTTGTCTGCAGACAGTTTTTCCAGGTCATGTGGCCAGCATGACTAAGCTGCTTCTGGCGGAAATACCGTTTACCTTCCCACCGGAGCGGTACCTATTTATCTACTTGCACTTTGTCGGGTTTTCGAACTGCTAGGTTGGCAGGAGCAGGGACCGAGCAATGGGAGCTCATCCCGTCACGGGGATTCAAACCGCCGACCTCCTGATCGACAAGCCCGAGGCTCTGTGGTTTAGACCACAGCACCATCTGCGTCCTTAGGCTGGTTCAAATGCAGTGCTAATAATACCACCAGGTTGATCCAAATATATATTGGCCTATTTCTACCTCTCTCTTTTTTTAATGGTGACCCAAACCATTCGTTGTGTGAGAATGTTCCTCACAACTGTGAGTGGAGTAGATAGAATTCCACAGGATGTGTGTGAAACGATCCAGTGATCCTCAGGCATGCACCTCCAGATGATGGATATGTGAGGCACCATTTAGGTCCCCAGGCATCTTCACTTGGTTGCACTTGGCCAATAGCCGGGTGTAAAATGTGCCTGGCACCTGGGTAATTTTGAACACTGGTTATGGAACAACTTGCCCCATGAAGTATGATTGGACCATTCCACCATTTCAGTCTGTTATTAAAGACCGTTTGAAGGGTTATTGTGAAGAGGAAGGCAGAGACCAGACAATCTGCCTTGCATTATTTGGGGGAAAGCATGCAATACAAATATTAAGATTCTATTTATCCGCAAAGTTCATATGCAATTTATGTGGCCAAAATTTTACTTGCTTCTATAGAACTCCTACAAAGTTCCTAGACAAGGTTTGATAGATAACAGAGTACACTAATAATACATTGAATAAGACATGAACATTTTTAAATAGCTGCTGGAGAAGCCAAGCGTGTCTTGTAATATGAAGTGCCACCACATATTTAAACCTCTGTAATTTAAAACAGAACATTTGGAAGTGATGCACATAAAACTTTCTATTTCATACAGAGCAGCTTTATTTCATTAAAAAGGTGCAAGTGTCTGTGTGGAAATGTGGAAAGTTTAAGCACAGGGGATATCTATTAGCATTAGAAAGTTAACTGATTTAGCCACAGGCCACAACAAAATATTTAAGCAAACAGAAAGCACAACAAATTAAACAGATGTAAGTTGTTCAATTTATCAGCAAATAAACCATGCCCATATTTACAAACTCCGCTCTTACTAGAACTTCCAGGAAATAAAAAAAAGTGTAATTGTGATAAAGCACTTAGCCCTTCTATCATAATCAAGAGTATTTTGTCTCTAGTTATGTTATGTTTCTTAGAAAGAACAGTACAACTGGAGGACATCTGAGTATATGGAACATTCTAGGAGGACATGACATTTTCCTGAAGCCTACACAAAATGAGATTTTTGGTACACCAGAAGGGACCTGGAACGTCCACAACTGTTTGGTGATAGGTCACTGCAGCTATCACATTTTACTTCTCTGATATGACTTCCTCCTTCACCGCTTTTGCTAGCAGAAGAAAGATTTTGACCGTCAAGGCCTTTCCCATTATGTTGGACCTAGAGTGCAAAATTCAGGCATATTATGAGAACTCTGAAGGGCATATACAACTGCATAAGTTTTCAAAATACATGTCAGTGAAGCAGGACTGGATTTGTATTTGCATATAGTTTACTGAGTAGACACTATAGTAAATTTAATACCCACAATAATTATCTATTGACAAATACTTGGAAAACACTAGTATACTGTAGACAGGGCCCAAATTTTGGCAGCCTTAGCAGCTATCTATAATTTGTGGTCACCCCAACTACACACACACATGCAAATTTATCCCAGGCTCCCGTTACACAGAAAAGAGATGGGGAGCCTGTGTCTCTTCCAATGTCACTGGACATCATTCCCAGCAAATGTTCAGTGATAATGGGAGTTTCAGTCCAGCAACATTTGGAAGGCCACAAATCCTGCATCCCTGATGGAGGATGCTGTGGGAGTTTTGAGTAGGTCTTTCATTTCATGTTAGGCTTTGAAAAACCCCAGAAGCAGTGAAGTTAGTTCTTATTCCTTCTAATGGTCTAAAGTCCAATGATGTGAGAAAGTGACTGTGTCTCACAAGTTCTCTATGGATTCCAGAAAAGATAAGAGAGGAACAAAGTCTGTCTCTCTTGTTGGGCATGAAAGACCCAGTCCCTCCAACTTCTCTAACTGCAGGGGAAAGGTCTTTCACTTTGTACTAGCATCCAGGGCAGGTAACTGCTGAAAAGATTTGTTGCAAAATTTCTACCCCAATGTTTCTTTATAAATTCAAAGCAACTTGAGAAAATGACCAACACAACAATCAGCATAATAATAAAAATAATAAACCAATACTAAACTATACTAGAATGTTGGTGAAAAGCCTAAAAGCACACACATGAAGCTTAAAAGAGAGGGAACCAACCACAACTTTCTAGGGAGGGAGTAAAAGACATGTAAAAGACACTGTTGGTCCCCAGAATCTAGCTCAGTGAACAGATGTGGGCAGAATGGTATCACATTTTGCCTAAGGAATCTCACTGCAGGGTTAGTTCCCTGGAAAGACTCGGTGGTGGTCTTCTTGTGGTGAACTAAATAAATTCAGACATGCATAGGATTGAGTGTACAAGACTACAATCTTAGGCTGAAATCCTACACACACTTACCTGAATTGCACTGATGGTGGCAGAAACTACAGGCACAAATACAGACTTCTGTGAAGGTGTTTTCATCCAAAGGCTCTTAAGGCCAATTTAAAACATAACTCAGCCCTGATGTAGACTACTAAAAGGGGAGGAAAATGTTTCCACAGAGCAGCAATCTGTGCAAAAGGAGTAACATTTATAATGAGCTTATCATATAAACCAGACCAACAATGGGGAGTCTATCTCACAGACACACCACCTGGCAGGACCTGGTATGCATTCGCATTCCATATGATTCAGATAGATGATCCAATAAACCTAATTACAATCATTATCTCCAGTCACCCCCTACATAAGCTTCCAACACATCAGCTCTGAGATAACGGGCAGCCTTGTGGGAGTACCCTCTGAACTGGTCCTAGTCTGGAAGTTCCAAGTCAGCAGCCTTACTACAACTTTGAAGTGGATTGTAAAGAGATCTAGCCAACAGCCCTCTCCTACGATTGGCTTAAGATGAGCACCACAATACTCCTGAGTGTCTGAACCATCATTTTCCACTGGTACTGGACTTGGTTCAGTTTGTTTTCCAATCCTCTCTGTGCTTCCCATTTGTATTCTCATCCCTTGTGTTTTGAGAACTTTATTCCATGCTTTGACAAAGGAGAGATGTGTATACTCAGGGTCATGATAGTCTGTTTGTTGGAGTTTTCTAAGGGGAGGAGGGTATTTCTGAAGAGTGAGAGAGACAAAGAGAGACAAAGAGAAGGTGTCTATTGTGTGGACGTGGTTTCAGTTAAAAATCATGGTTTTGCAGTGCACTCTTTTGCACAGGCATAGGCAAACTTGGCCCTCCAGATGTTTTGAGACTACAATTCCCATCATCCCTGACCACTGGGCCCATTAGCTAGGGATGATGGGGAGTTGTAGTCCCAAAACATCTAGAGGGCTGCCTGCTTTTGAAGATGGAGTTGCAATGCTGGCTTTGTGCAAATAATAATAATAATAATAATAATAATAATAATAATAATTTATTATTTATACCCCACTCATCTGGCCGGGCCTCCCCAGCCACTCTGGGCGGCTTCCATAGAAACCAAAAATACACTAAAATATCACGCGTTAAAAACTTCCCTGAACAGGACTGCCTTAAGATGTCTTCTGAATGTCAGGTAGTTGTTCATTGTTTTGACATCTGCTAGAAGGGCGTTCCACAGGGTGGGCGCCACTACCGAGAAGGCCCTCTGCCTGGTTCCCTGTAGCTTTGCTTCTTGCAATGAGGGAACCGCCAGAAGGCCCTCGGCGCTGGACCTCAGCGTCCGGGCAGAACGATGGGGGTGGAGACGCTCCTTCAGGTATACTGGACCGAGGCCGTTTAGGGCTTTAAAGGTCAGCACCAACACTTTGAATTGTGCTCGGAAACGTACTGGGAGCCAATGTAGGTCTTTCAAGACCGGTGTTATATGGTCTCGGCAGCTGCTCCCAGTCACCAGTCTAGCTGCCACATTCCAGATTTGTTCTAGTTTCCGGGTCACCTTCAAAGGTAGCCCCATGTAGAGCGCATTGCAGTAGTCCAAGCGGGAGATAACCAGAGCATGCACCACTCTGGTGAGACAGTCCACAGGCAGATAGGGTCTCAGCCTACGTACCAGATGGAACTGGTAAACAGCTGCCCTGAACACAGATTTGACCTGTGCCTCCATGGACAGCTGTGAGTCCAAAATGACTCCCAGGCTGCGCACCTGGTCCTTCAGGGGCACAGTTACCCCATTCAGGACCAGGGAATCCTCCACACCTGCCCCCCCAAAACAGTACTTCTGTCTTGTTGGGATTCAACCTCAATCTGTTAGCCGCCATCCATCCTCCAACCGCCTCCAGACACTCACACAGGACCTTCACCGCCTTCACTGGTTCTGATTTAAAAGAGAGGTAGAGCTGGGTATCATCCGCATACTGATGAACACCCAGCCCAAACCTCCTGATGATCTCTCCCAGCAGTTGCATGTAAATGTTGAAAAGCATGGGGGAGAGGACAGAACACTGAGGCACCCCACAAGTGAGAGCCCAGGGGTCTGAACACTCATCCCCCCCACCACTTTCTGAACATGGCCCAGGAGGAAGGAGCGGAACCACTGTATGACAGTGCCCCCAGCTCCCAGCCCCTCAAGACGGTCCAGAAGGATGTTATGGTCGATGGTATCAAACGCCGCTGAGAGATCCAAGAGAACTGGGAAACAGCTCTCACCTTTGTCCCTAGCCCACCGGAGATCATCAACCAGTGCGACCAAGGCAGTTTCAGTGCCATGATGAGGCCTGAAGCCTGACTGGAAGGGATCCAAATGGTCCGCTTCTTCCAGGCGTGCCTGGAGTTGTTCAGCAACCACTCGCTCAATCACCTTGCCCAAGAATGGAAGATTTGAGACTGGGCAATAGTTGGCCATTGTGGCCGCATCTAAAGATGGTTTTTTAAGAAGCGGTTTAATAACCGCCTCTTTCAGCGGATCTGGGAAGGCTCCCTCACGGAGGGAAGCATTCAACACCCCATGAAGCCCATCACCCAGTCCTTCCCGGCTAGCTTTTATAAGCCAGGATGGGCAAGGATCCAGGAGACAGGTGGTTGGTTACACTCGTCCAAGCAGCCTGTCCACATCCTCGGAGGTAACAGATTGGAATTGATCCCACACAACTTGACTAGACAAAACTCTAGCACTCTCCCGCCCCGGCCCTGCTCCCACAGTGGAGTCTACTTCTTCCCGAATCTGAGCGATTTTATCTGCAAAAAAACTTTGCAAAATCATTGCATGACCAGCACTGTCCTTTCTACTTCTCCATTCACAGAGCTAAGGATGTTAGCTCTGTGATCCTACCATTCAGGTAGGTAGCTGTGTTGGTCTACCTATCTGAAGAAGTGTGCATGCACACGAAAGCTTATTCCCAGAACAAACCTAGTTGGTCTCCAAGGTGCTACTGGACATTTTTTAAATTTATTTCAATCTTTTGCACAGTTCATCTGCATCACCCAGATACCTTGCAGTGGCATAAAACACTGTCACCTTACACCCAAGACACTTGGCTGCTATCCTATACAGGTTAGCCACTCCTTGACAGTGGATATTGCCAGGTTTTTAGTGATAAATAATGCTTTGAATGAATTCACAACAGCATCAAATTGAAAACTAAATAACTCTGGGTGTCCCGTCTAAGCATACTGCAATTTAGACTTTGCAAAAATCCACAACAAAGAGATTGCTGTCAGACTGAACTGCAAAGTTGAAGGCTATATTATGCCTCTCATCTACTAAGAGATGCCTTTTCAACTGTGATAGGGATGGAATGGGAAAATACAGTAAAGAAAGAGCAAAGAGTTCTGTATTCCGAATTGAAATCGTAGTAAGTGTGTGACCTGCCACACACTAAATTGCCCTTGCCTCCTGATTGCCCGATGTACCCAGAATTCAATCCAGTGCCTCATTCTGAATGAAGCCCCTATTTGAACTGGTTATAAAAGAGGATTGCTGTAAATGCAGTGTCATTCTTTGGTTTCCTGCCAAGCAGTGTTCCAGAGTCTGTTCAGCTGGCAGACAATCCTCTTTGCACAATGTGTCATCTGAAGTCAGCTTTTACAATACTGGGGAAAACAACCTTCATATTGCTCTCCACTCTTATTGCTCCACTTAAAAAAAAAAAAGGAATTATGTGTTGTATATCATTCTGCTATCTACTTAAGATAAGCAAAGGAAAACTCTGCCTGGCAGGCTTCACTACTTACTACTATCAGCAACCCAGTACCTAAGTCAGGAACCTGTTTCTCTGAAGTTGCTAAAATAATGTTGACACAAAACACTGATAACAAACAAACAAAATACACAAACCCCTTTGGGTAAAAGTCTCTATCCCACTCTGCTCTTTCCCAGAGGCGGCTGTCTCCCCAATCTCCAGAAATGAGAACTGCTTATACAGTGTCTCTCTGTCTTATCAGGATGAAGTCATAGTTTACAGACCCTCATCTAGCCTGTCAACAACCCCAGGCTAGATCCAGCACATCTACAGATTCTCCTGAGTCAGAAGGAATGGCTAGCTGAGTATCATTGGCTTTCACACTTCAAATCCTCATAAATGGAATCCTGTGGCACCCTAAGCACAAAAGCTATGGGGCGAGTCCTTCAGTGCTACTCTCTGCTAGGAATTCTCTTTATTGAAGCACCATAACACTGTGCCATCAATCCTTCGAATTACTTCAGGAAGATGTCATGGCCCATGGTATCAAAGCTGCCAAGAGGTCGAGGAGAATCAAAGGGCTAGTATTTTTTCTGTCTGATAAAGGTCATCACAGAGGGCAACCAAAGCTGAAACTGGGCCAGAGGTCAGATTGAAATGGGTCAAGATAATTCACTTTATCCAGATGTGCCTGCAGTTACCTGGCTACCACACTCTGGATTACTTTGCCCAGAAAAATAATCTACAAGGTGGAGGCTGTCCAATATCTCAAGGTCCATGGAGGGCCTCTTCAGAAGGGGTCATGGCATCACCTCTTTCAAAGCCTTTGACACAATCTTCTCCCACAAGGCATTAACAATTCCTTGGGCCCAGCCAGATAATTATTGGCTAGCTTGTACCCACCATGAGATATTGTCCTAGACTTTTAACTTACACTTACATTCTTGAAAAAAACATCAAATGTCTTTATGGTAAACTACCCTTCTAGTAACCTTTCAGACAATCTTCCCTACCATCAACAGCTCTACCAACAAACATTTTAAACAAGTATTAGTACAATGTCTTTCTTCCAGCAAACACACACCACGTCTTAGGGGAAAAGGACAGTGTGGTTTCTACTCAGTGTAACCCTATACATGTCTACTCAGAAGTAAATCCCATTGCGTTCAGTTAGAATTTTTCCCAGGTAATGCAGAAAAGGGGGAAACTTCTTTAAAAGGTAACCTAACATGGCATGATTCTAAAAACAATAAAACATGGAAGATCAGAGGGCAAGGGGCAGAATAGATTGAATGTAAATTCAATGAAGGAGGGGGGGAAGGTGAATGAGAACACTAAAATGGGAGCAAAAACAAGTGGAACATGCTGAACTCTAAACTCTACCCCCACGCTACACTAATAGTATAGCAAAAGCTGAAAATGCACAGTTGTTGCATCAAAGAGGAAAACGAAACATTGAAGTTAGGACACACATCAAGATTTGAGGAAAATAGAGACTCATGAAAGGACAAGCAGATGGTGATTGACTTCTGCAGGCACATAAGAGTAATTGAAAATGCAAGTCATAGACACAAAGAGGGTGGCAGACAACAAGCAAAGTATTGGCCACACATCCTTGGAGCAGATGGTTTGTGCTGGAATAATCCCATGCCAGCAAACAATGAGAAAAGCATGTGTGCCCAAGAAACAAGAGATGACAAGCGGTTGTCTGGACTGGTTAAGCCAGGACTGCAGGGCAGAGGGAGCAGTGGGGGAGAGACCTAGCTGGCAAATGCTGCTGCCAAGATGTATCCAAAAGGGCACCTTTAAAGTTAAATTCACAGGAGCCAAAGCTGGCATGAAGAATGTGCAAACTCAACATCTCAGCTGCTTTAAATGCCAATAAGCCATGTCATCTTCAACTTCTAACCTGGAGTCCTCTAGGTGTTTTTGACAACAACACCCATCAACCCCAGCTAGCATCTGCAAAGTACCAGGTTGGGGAAGGCTGATTCAGATAATCGAATTGCTTGCTGTATACTGACATCCTTCATTTTTGCAGCCCTTGTATTAAATACATTGCGGCCTTGTTCCTGTCCAATAATCATAATGAAATAAGGTTTGCCTCTTGATTACAAAATGAGGCCATAGATCCCCATGGAACAGCAGCCACTGCTAATTCTATGCTCTGCTGGCCTAAGGCCTGGATTTGCAAGTTCCACAGTATCAGAGAATTCCAACTTAAGCCAATGCAACACCAGCTATACTCCCTCCTCACTTCAAACACATGAAAAGCATTTTCTCCTCAGAAGTTGAGTGGAAGCTGGGGGATCTTACCATCATCTTTCATAATGAAATGTACAGTACAGCTTAGGAGTTGTGCTAAAGTGATGTGTCTGTCATGAACGAAGATTGCAAATAAGGAATGTCAGAAGAACAGCAAAATTAGCTGGTGGCAACTCTGTAGTGTTCACATGTTGACACTGATCCCAGGTACATGTTGTCTCTAAACACAAGCATTTGTGTGAACAATACAGGTACACAGACTATACATTCATTGAATATTACATGTGACTATGTACATGTAATATACATTCAGTTCAACTGTGTAAACAGGTACATAGGCTGTACACTTGTTGAATGTAACATGCAAGCACGCCTACTTTTTCAAAGCCAAAAGAGAAAGGACAGTAACAATTACCGGTAATAGGTACCAACTGCAAACAGCTTATTAGGCAAGCTCAACAGTTTGCAAGTTTTTAGGTTTGTTTACAAAAGACAAGTAAAATAAAGTTGTTAAATTAGGTCACTCTTTAGGGCAGGCATGGCCAAACTCGGTCCTCCAGCTGTTTTGGGACTACAGTTCCCATCATCCCTGACCACTAGTCCTGTTAACTAGGGATGATGGGAGCTGAAGTCCCCAAACAGCTGGAGGGCGAAGTTTGGCCATGCCTGCTTTAGGGCATAGCCCTCCAGATGTTGCTGGACTACAACTCCCAACATTCCTGAGCATTAGCCCTCCTAGCTAGGGATGATGGGAGTTGAAGTACAACAACATCTAGGGTCATAGATTCCTCTCCCCCAACCTCTATGATATCAGAAAATTTTCCAGTGCAATCTGAAAGATTCCCAGTACAAATGACCCTAATGTGCATGGGAACATTTTCCAAACATTCCTGCTGGCAAAGAATCCCAATTCAGAAGTTTCTGGAAAACCTACATCACTGCCCATGAACATCAAAGATAAATCCCAGATCAGCTTAGACAGGTGGTGAACCTATTGTGGCTGTCAATTGCAACCTTACAGGTCAGGGATGTAAGTGGGGTAAAAGTGCTTTAATATTGAGACAGGCCATGAACAGGAGAATTAACTCTTGCTCCTCTAAAGAATAACAAATCCAGCAGATGAAACACCAGCAAAAACAGGACACAAAGGGAGTTAGACACTGACCTACACAAAATGGGACAAAACAGTATCTAGGGAAGAAAAGGAGACAGAAATAGTCGCCTGCTCTTGAACATGGAAAATCCATTACACCAAGCTCACACTGCCCCTGTGCCACAAGAAGTCTGCAGAGTTAATAAGGAATGCCATGGACCAGCAGGACACAGTTTTCACTCAGTAAGCATTATGCTACAAGATGATATTTCTTTTAAGGTAAACCAAAACCTGCATTTTAATACTTTCCTCTGAAGTCTAAACTACTCACCTCCTCATCCACCCAAATACCCATTATCTACACTGCAATTATCCAGAACCTGTGCCCTTTTGCATGTAATTTGGTATCCACTTACTTGTAAGATATTAAGGCTGCTGCTTATCTGGAAATTATGCATGCGCCCCAAGCAACAGAGATGTTCTGTAATTATCTTCAACTTTACATTGCTATGCAAACAATCTCACCAGGATTCATGTAGGAGACCTATTATTATCCCAAGCAGCAAGAAACTATTAAATAATGAGATTCATTGGGAGCAATTGTCCAGGGAGAGCACAGGCAACCACTCCCGAGTCCATTGTTTCCCATAAACAGTTAATGCAGGGCTGTGGTTTTTCGTTTCACAGCTCCTAGTCCATCCACTGTTGTCCCTCCTCAGCAGTGTCAGAGAAAGTCAGAGTGCCTCACATGCATTAATAAATTAAGCCTCAGTGCTCTTGCGAGAGGAGGGGAGGAGTATTATTTTTCCCCTAAGTGCAAGTGGTGAAACTGAGCAAAGAGAGGTTGCCCTAGGTCAAACAACGAGACACTGGCAGGCACAAATGGAAGAATGGCTTCCATTCTTGCATTTTAAACCCCACAAGCCTATTTCTCATGAAAGCCATGACAATTACGTTGACCAGCAGCAATCCTCTCCCCCTCAGTGTATACTCACACAACTTCCTGCTGCCATTAGCAAAAAGTAAATAAACGAAATTGCATCACAAGCTACAGGCTGTCTGAGCTACGAAGATCTATTACCCCTCCACACACATACACACACAAAGATGAAAACAGTTGCAAGGCTGAAAAATAGTCCTTTGGGAGCAGCCAGTCTCTTCTCTCCGGATAAGTCATTTCACAATGCAGTGTTATCTCGTTATGAATGGATTCTGTCACCGAGGGCAGGCAAGCACTGTTTAAAGGGAGGGAGGGGGGAGCCTAGGCTGATTGGCGCTAAGGATTGCAGCTTGTAATCAAATGGGAGATTAAAACAGTTGCTCATCTGTGGACAAAGAACTTTTCAGGTGGGATATTTCTCTCTCTCTCACAGCCCCCCACAAAAAAATTATTTGCTATCCTAAAGGTACAGGTACTAAAATCAGAATATTATTCTGTTTCCCCACCACCACCACCACCCTCTTCCTTTTTCTAGAATGAATGAGATTTGGTGTCTGAGAAATTCAATAGGGGTCTTATGTGAAACCTCACACAATATAGCATGAGATGTGAGGCGTTCTGAATGGAATTTCAGCAATTCTGCAGAACATCTCTGGGAAAGGCATGAGCAGAACTGATGCCTTTCAGAACCCTCCAGTTCCTACAAATCTAAAAAGTCACCCTTCCCCTCCCCACCCCGCTCCCGCCAGAAAAAAAGAGCAAGCTTAGCTTTGATTCGTGAGAGAAAAACTCCTGCCTCACTTTTGCTAAGGACAACTGCACAGATCTCGCTCAGGACTCTTTCACAATCGCTCGTTTGAGAAGTTGCTAACAAAACCTTCAGCGACTGCCTGTCACAAACCACTTGGCCAGGGACAATAAGGCGCTTATTTATCCGAAAAACCGTTTGCTTAGCTCGCTGCTACAAGACTGGACAGACCAAAGATTTTTTTAATGGGAAAAAATAGCCTACGCTAGTCATTCGCAAAGCAGATCCACTGAAATCAATGGGCACGTTTAAATCCATTGATTTCAATGAGTTTACTCTTGAGCATGGCCAGCGTTGGCTATGATCACATACGCCAAAGCAAGGGCTGGAAAAGTTCTGAACTGCTCCCTTAGCCTTTCGCTCCCGAGTCTCAAAAACGAGCCTTTTCTTGTTCCAGCATCACCCCTTGTAACTAACTGGAGCTGAACAGAGCCGTGGCTATTTTGGAGTCTGGCTGTGCGTAAAGCAGCCTCGGGGAGCGGCCCCTCTTCCGAAAACTTACCTCCAAGGGACCAGAAAAGCATCTCTGGCTGGATCCCGGGTTATTACTTTTCCCTCTCTCTCTCTTGTCTTTTCGGATGTTCGAGACAAAATCCAGGAATGCTGGTGGAGAGGAGAGGAGAGCGCGCGAGCCTCTAGGAAGGCAACAGACAACAACAGCACGAGATCTTCTTGGGACTTTCCGAGAGCATTTCCCTGAAAAGTGGCGGAGGCACCAGACGGATCCAGGCAGGTTAATATTCCGCGCACCACCCCCTAAAAAGCGGGGGGGGGGGCTGCGGAGACTTTGGAGAGAAGTTGGAGGCGACTCGCGCCAAGGCCCCGCTTCCCGCGCTCCACGCACCCGCCGGAGACGACAGAGGCGCAGACAGGAAACTCCCCGCTGGAAACTCTTCCCCAGAAGGAAGAGTGGCCTGGGAGCGAGCCGGTCCTGGTGCTTCTCCGGCCCGCCCGCCCGCCTCGCGGCTGCTCCTTCAAAGGCTGCCGTCGCTTTTGTGCCTCCGCTTTCTCCTCTGCCCCCTCCTCCTCCTCCTCCCTCTCCTCCTCCCTCCTTCATGACACAGACAGCCCAGATGGGAAGAGCCTGCCGCTGAAGCCAGGCCGGTGCCCCATCCTGAAAGCTGATCCTGCTGATCTCATCACCGAAGGCTACTAATCCAATGGCCAGGGAATTAAGAACAGATGGTGACGCCCCTTCTCTCTCCTCTCTCTTTTTTTCTAACCTCCCCCCACCCCACCGCAAAAAACACGACCATTTAGCCTACAGGCAGAGAAGCAAGCAAGCGCGCACACACGCGCGCGCGCCCCCCAGACACCCGAGTCCACACCAACAGGCTGCAAAAGGGCAGCGGATCTCCTCTCCAACGGTGGCACAGGCTGCGTTTCCTGCCTGCGCGCCACACCAGAGTTCCCTGGCCGGCGTTTTACACCAGGCGGGGAAGCTGCATTATTTAACCCCTTGCGCATAATCGGTGCGAGTCAACCTCTGGAAAGGTGGGGGGTGGGGTGGTTTTTGCAATTTTAGGCGCATGGGAGAGTTCTTACAAGAATGTGGCTTGTCTATTATGTCACTAGCCATTCAAGGTTTTTTTGTTTTAGAACATCCAGTTTTGTTTTGTCTTCTGAATGGGGTGTTTAGCAGAGTTATTTATTCTCTGGCTTTAGGGGACACTGAGGTGTGGTGAAGAAGGAGCAGATGCATGTATTACCGTTGTATTTTTACTGCCAGGGCGGGGAAGAGCTGCGTGTGGGATTTTCTGCCTCATGTGCCAAAAGAACCAAGCTGGGTACTACGCACCCTTTTGACATTTACCGCTCTGGCTTGGGCTGGCTTGAGCTGACCGAGAGTACTCCTTTTTTGTCTGTGCTTTATGAAAGAGCATAGATGCTATTTTTCACTCTTGCTGGACATAATGGGAGCTCAACAAGTGGAACAGCTGTTCTTTCTTAATTTGCATTCATTTAAATTGGGTCCGTCCTTTTAGTTTTTAAGTTTCAGGGGTTCAAAACACCTCTTTTCATGAGAGTGCTTCCCTTGCAAATAGATATTACAATTGTATCAGCAGTGATATAGTATTCCCTCCCCTTAAAAATGTGATTTTATTTTGATTTGTCTTTCACCACCACCTTTAAGGGTCTCTTAAATCCAGTCTATCTCTAAGGCAGTTTGGTTTGAAATAGCAGTGCTATTTCTTAATTTATTTACTATTTGTATGTATTAGCTATGTCATAATATACATTTTCTAGGCAAGTGTGTTTCTACTATAGCAATTGTGTGGAGCAGCTAATCGAAAAGAGGATTCACACCCTTGCAATATTGTCATGCTCAGTGCTCTCATAGGCTTCCATAAATCAATAGGTACTCTGCTAAAGTTCAGTTTTCATTTACTTCAGTCATCTCCATTTCAGATCAACATATAGTTCAGCATACTGTTAAACCTAAAATACCATGTGTTGTTTCCAGTGCTGTGCAAGAGGTGTTCTCCTTGCACAATAGGCTCTCCCCTTCCTCTCCTCTTCCCATGCAAATATGCTCCAGAGGGTTTCCAAATGCTGAGGGTGCACAGGAGGACAGCAGAGGTGGAAGAAGTCTTGTTACAGAAATGGAAGTCTAACCCTAACCCCATGCAATCAAGACAAATGAGTTATTTATTCACTCTACCTTTATCCCACCTTTCTTTTACTGAACTCAGTGCAATGTTCATACATTTCCCAGGCATTCTCCCATCCAGGCACAGACCAGAACCTGATTAGCCTAAACAAGATTGCTGCACAAACCCTGACACAATTGACTACATGGCCAATATAATATATAGTGTCTGGATGACTTCATTGCGGCCACTGGAATTTGGCTAGAGCAGCTTTTCTTGTGTATAGAATGTGTATATTGAAATAAGTACTGTAAGATTTCCTTCATTGCAATGGGTTGGTGTTTCCCAACCTGGAGTCTCCAGCTGTTTTTAGACTACAACGCCCATCATTGCTAGCCATTAGTCTTGCTAGCTAGGGATGATGGGAGTTGTAGTCCAAAAACAGCTGGCGACCAAAAGTTGAGAAACACTGGACTAGATGACCCTTGGGGTCCCTTCCAGTTCTACGATTCTGTGGTTCTATGAATCAGTATGGCTAACTTAACCCAGCAACACCCCACCCCCTGCTCATACACAATCAAAACATGCTGCAACCAACTACGACTTGGACCCTCTGATCTCTTGCACCAACAAAAACAAGATGCCTATCCATGTGATGCTGAAAAAAAGTTCCACTCATGTACTATGTAAAGAATGAAAGTTTAGTGTCTCCCTCGAATCCCCCCATTCCCCATTTCTCTTTCATCCTCAACCCCACATTGCCTATAACAAAAATGTCTCAACCTGACTGCAGTTGACCTGTGTAAAGGATTCTACGATTTAAAAACAAGAGACACTGAATGTGCTTTTGTTACTTATGGAAAAACTTTTTATGAAAACCTACTTTTCAAAGTCAGTATTGTACTTATTTATTGATAAACAGAGAGAAAAGTATACAATCCTTCAGTGTTACAGACTAGTACATCAGAAACCTATACAGTCATACCTTGGAAGTCGAACGGAATCCGTTCCGGGAGTCCGTTCGACTTCCAGAATGTTCGGAAATCAAAGTGTGGCTTCCGATTGGCTGCAGGAAGCTCCTGCAGCCAATCGGAAACCACAGCAGCCTTGTTGGACGTTCGGGTTCCAAAGAACGTTCGCAAACCAGAACAATCACTTCCGGGTTTGCAGCATTCGGGAGCCAAAACATCCAAGTACCAAGGCGTCCGGGATCCAAGATACGACTGCATTTTGTTTCTGAATACCAGGTGCTGGGACTACTCACAAGTGGGAAGAGTGCTACTGAGTTCAAGTCCTGCTTGTTAGCTTCCCATAGGAATCTGCTTCGTTGGCTATGTGAGAACAGGATGCTGGACGAGATGGGCCATTGGCCTGACCCAACAGGGCTCTTCTTATGCTGTATTGATGTGCCAATGAAAAATAAGTGTTGTTGTTGTTTAGTCCTTTAATCATATCTGACTCTTCGTGACCCCATGGACCAGAACACGCCATGCACTCCTGTCTTCCACTGCCTCCCGCAGTTTGGTCAGACTCATGTTAGTAGCTTCGAGAACACTATCCAACCATCTCGTCCTCTGTCGTCCCCTTCTCCTTGTGCCCTCCATCTTTCCCAACATCAGGGTCTTTTCCAGGGAGTCTTCTCTTCTCATGAGGTGGCCAAAGTATTGGAGCCTCAGCTTCAGGATCTGTCCTTCCAGTGAGCACTCAGGGCTGATTTCCTTCAGAATGGATAGGTTTGATCTTCTTGCAGTCCATGGGACTCTCAAAAAATAAGTGATTTGCTAGTACAAGTTAGAATTATTATTTTTTCTTTAAAAAAATGAGCCCTAATGAAACACTGTTTAACTTCTATGTTATAACATAATGCGGTAAATAGAAAGCTTTCCTGCAGGCCCCCAACCAGCATATTATCATCTGCCAAAAAAAGCACATACTTTTGTCGAGGTTTATCCCCAGCATGTTAAAAATAGCAACTGTCTGTGCTACAACCATTATTTCATTACTGAAGATGGTATATGCTTCACTTAAAGTGGAAAGCTGCTATGACAGCGTATATAAAATCCAAACACTTCCTCTGACAACTTACATAACTCTCCTTAAAAGAGGATCAGTGATACTCTCAGTAGCATTATCCGTTTTCAACTTCTTCAGAACCTGACCTTTCTCACACAGAAACACTGCCAAAGCGACTGATTTTGAAAGAGATGTGGTATATGTGTATAAAGGGAAGAAAGAAGTGTGTGTGTCTTTCTCTGTGTGTGTGTGTCGCTAAGCGATTTTTGTGAGAGTATATGTTCAAAAGAAAAAATCACTGGCAGGACAAGTAGGCAAAAGAAGCATCATCGATACCGCACTGCCACTCCCCAAGATTGTCCTCAGAGGCTCTGTTCTTGGGCAGACCACTAAAGTTCGTCAAGTAGGTAGATACTAGAAATAGGGACTTTTCAGTGGTGGCTCTGTACTTGTGGAGTTCCTGCCCAAGAATTTAATTTGCCCCCCTGGTGGCTTTTAAATGGTCCCTAAAGGATTTTTCATTCCAGCAAGCTTTTTATTGATTCTGAAAACCTCAAGGGAGATTGGACCATGAAGTCACAGAATTACAGTTCATCCAAATGCCCAGTGCTATCACTTGTGGCTTGGTTTTGATCACAATACATGTCTAAATTAGTTTACAAATGCCAAGGTATCTGTTATTGTCAACAACAACTGTTTCAGGAATGGCTGCTGTTAATAATGTAAATTACCTTACTGCATTGCATTTCCCTCTGATCTTGTTGTTCATAACTCCCTCCATCCACTGTATATACATAGTTACATAGTCAGGATAACACTTCATACACCTGATGAAGGGAAATGTAATCCACAAAAGTTCATTGCACCCATATCAGGTCTTCTCTAGAGGAACAGCCAGCTCCTTCAGAGCTCCAAAAAGCACAACTTTATCCTTTTCTTATTTTGATGTAGTCTACTGCTGCTGCTTCCTTTAATTTATTTTTTGCACAGACTTTGGCTTGTCCTCCCCATCAGAATAAGCATGAATCATCTCCACCTATCACAGTTTGGGTCATCTTAGCTACCATTGAGATGGATATCCAGAACAATATGGGTTATCAACACTACTTTGTCAAGCCTCAAGAGGTATTGCCTCAGGGAAACTGACACTGATAGCTCTGCTCACAGAATTCTGACAGGAAATGCATACCAATATGGACATTCATGCAAGATACATTCACAAGAGAGCCAGGATTGGCTGACACGCTCCTGCAAAGTGGATACTTGGTAGCAAACTTGGTTTTATTGCTGTGTAATGCATGGAACGGGCCACAGAAACATGAGTACACAAACATCCCATATGCACTTGACGCACATGGATGTACCTAAAAACATTGTGTGTACATGAGCATCAGTGTGTGCACACTCTTTAGGAAAAGCCAGTTCTCCATTTGTGTTCCTGAAACCATATTTCTCCCATATATCACATTAAACTACATTTCCCAGGATCCTTTGGGAGGAGTAATGTGCTTTAATCGTAGGGCATGAATATGGCCTAAGTGAAGGCAGCTTCAGATTTTTGTCTTAGTCTTTTGAAGAAACTGAGAAAAGAATGGTAGGTAA